AAACTTGGTTATTCCTGCATAAACCATTATTAACATTTCCCTCTAGAAATTTATGAACTTATTACCATTAAAAAATTGATTGCTTCCAAATATTGTTCTTACAGGACCTATAATTTACATTAAAAATGCAGTTATTTGTATCATAACATCACAATCAAAAATTATTTATGGAATTCAAAAACTTTTTACTACAAAAAATGGTATAACATTTAACAGTAAAAGAAAGTAGCACCCATGTACTGTATCTGTTACACATGAATCCCATTTACCTGCTCCCTAGTTTTAACAAGCATCAACCCTGTGTCATCCAGACGGCTCAGCCCTCAAGTCCACTTTCCCTTTTACATATCATTGTGAAGCAAATCATAAACACACCATATAATACGTATCTCAAAAAAGTTCAATATCTCAAACATTATAATTCAATAATATTTTCCTATCACAAAAATGAAGGCCATAGCTAAAAGTGGCAGATAAGGTAGGAACACTTGTCTTTGAACTCTACACCCTCTCCTTCTTACATAACTTTCACTTGTGTGATGAATAAATAGTTTTACCAAATATTTTTACTAGGCATTAAAAATATAAGGATAAATAAAGTTCCTGACTTCGAAACATTCAAGTGGCACCCACATAAGAAGACATACCTGTGAGCATTAACATATTGCATAACTTCTTCATATGCTAAAATAGGATTTCATTTTGTGATTAATCAAAATGATCTCAGCTTTGAAAGTCAAAGAAATATAGATAAATGTCTTCTCTAGTCTACTGACATTATTAGTATTCAAGTAGTTTTATGTTCTATGATCTTTTCTCTCAGCCTTCATATTTTACTTCCTCTTTTTTTCCCCACTAGTTTACTATTTCTATCAATCCTATAACTCTTTCTCCCACATGGAACCGTCCCTTGAATTTTAGCCCATTTACAATTTTTCCTCAATGTAAAGGGTAATCTTGTCACTAATCCAGAAACCAAAAGAGACAAATGTAATAAGTTAGAGTTAAGACAGACTGGAAGGAGGGAAGCCAAAGAAAATGGAAAGAAAGAAGAAAGTAGGAACTAGGAGCCAGGAGAGATATGATCTAGGTGAGAAACAGCAGATAGTCATTAAGCTTCATGAAAACAGGGAATAGAAATGAAGACAGTACTGTCCTACAGAATAACAAGTTTACATTTTAAAAAAAGCATATTTAACTCAAAAGTTAAATCAAATTTCTGAAAACACTGTAACATAATAGTCATATTAATAGTCAAATGATACTTGATCATTTGGAAAAATACTGGCATAAAAATAATTTGTTATGATTTCTAAGTTTGTTACCTGTATTACATCAATTACTTCATCAAAGTTAGTTCCTGGAAACTTCAGCTCATCTTCATCTACCTTAATTAATTCTGGAGTCTAAAAAAGAATTTTCAAAAACTTTTTTATATTATATAAAAAACATATTATATATGTTTTTAAATATATATAATTTATCATAATTCAACTTACAATATAAGCTACATGGACCCATTTTAAATATCCTGCTAAGAACTGATTTCATTAGTGAATGAAATTCAAGCTAGTCACTGTCACTAGGTCATCTTTCCAATAGCTATACGAAATTAAATATTTAGGACTGACAACAATTAACTGTATATTGCAGAATATCTAGTAGAGGGGCCAGCGTAGTGGTGCAGCAAGTTAAACTGCTTCCTGAGATGCTGTCATCCCATATGGGCTCTGGTTCAAGTTCCACCTATTATACTTCTGATTTAGCTTCCTGCTAATGCGCCTGGGAAAGCAGATGAAGACGGTCCAAGGACTTGGGTGCCTACACCCTCGCAGGAGACCCAGATGAAGCTCCTGGCTTCAGCCTGGTCCAACCCTTGCCACTGCAGCCAACTGGGGAATAAACCAGCAGATAAAAGATCTCTTTCTGTCTCTTCTCTGTCTGTAACTCTGCCTTTCAAATTAATAAATAATCTGAAAAAAATATAAAAAACAGTGCTCGCTTTGGTAGCACATATAATAAAATTGGAACGATACAGAGAAGGATTAGCATGGCCCCTGCGCAAGGATGACACGCAAATTCGTGAAGCGTTCCATATTTTTGGAAATTTATATTTATTAAATAAAAGGACACAAAGAAATGATAAATGTTTGAGGTGATGGAAACGTTCATAACCTTGATATGATCATTACACATTCCAGCATGTATTGAAACATCACACTGTATACCATAAATACATAGAATTATTATGTATCAAATAAAAATTTTTAAACTTTAATTAAATGAGTTTGTCTGCCAAGGACTCCATCAACAATACAACTTAAACCAACTAATCAACAGGCTGACATGATTATGATTACTCTCTTAGACTTAGACCCCCACCATCCACATGGGAGAACCAGATAGATAGAGTTCCAGGCTCCTGGCTTTGGCCTGGCCCAGTCCTGACCCAGCCCTGGCCATTGTGGCCATTTGAAGAGTGAGCCAGTGGATGTAAGATCTCTGTCTCTCCCTCTCTCTGTAACTCAGCCTTTCAAATAAGTAAAAAAAAAAAATAACATGATTATGATAAAAGGCTATACGTGGAACAACATGAGTTGAAATGACAAACAGGACTCAAAATGACACTTATGATAAAATTCTGAAATATACCCGCATCCAGGCTTGCAGAGGAGATGCTTCTTTGGGACTAGGCAGAGGTGGACTGACCTCAGCACTGCCATTGGAGATGCTGTCAATATCTACATTGGGTAAAACCTAAAACAGAAAACAACACCCAGCCTTCTATTGTCATTTGACTCAAATCTTTAGACAGAAAGATAAGAAAACACATCCTTTAAGATTTTATTGTGGAGTTGATGGGATAACTAAATTATGGAAGCATATTATACAAACTATAAGGGAAACACATAAACCCTATCATCTCAAAACAATTCATCTTCACTACTCCCTTTGTAATTTTACTATCTATTCACATGTAGGTAAAAATTTAAGATAGTTTTCCTTTCCAATTTTTCATTGTTATTAGGTCATAAATACCTAATTATGTTTCTGTATAGGCTATTTTTAACAACTACATAATATTTCAACAAATATAAAGGTCTTAATTAATTATGTACTTGGTAAACTTTTGGCATATTTCCAGTTTTTCTCTTATATGTATCTTTCACCACACACACAAAAAACACTTTTTTGTTTTTTTGACAGGCAGAGTGGATAGTGAGAGAGAGAGAGAGACAGACAGAAAGGTCTTCCTTTTGCCATTGGTTCACCCTCCAATGGCCGCCGCGGCCAGCGCGCTGCGGCCGGCGCATCGCGCTGATCTGAAGGCAGGAGCCAGGGTACTTCTCCTGGTCTCCCATGCGAGTGCAGGGCCCAAGTACTTGGGCCATCCTCCACTGCACTCCCTGGCCACAGCAGAGAGCTGGCCTGGAAGAGGGGCAACCGGGACAGAATCCAGCGCCCCAACCGGGACTAGAACCCGGTGTGCCGGTGCCACAAGGCGGAGGATTAGCTTAGTGAGCCGCGGCGCCGGCCAAAAACACCTTTATATACAGAGTTTCCTTCTCAAATTTTGAATGACTTCATTATGCTAGATAGACAGACAGGTATTAGATTCATTTCTTGGGCCACAGGGCATGAAATTTACGATCCTTGTTAATAACTGTTGAAATACAATCCAGAGGCCAGCGCTGCAGCATAGCAGGTAAAGCCACAGCCTGCAGTACCACCATCCCATATGGGTGCCAGTTCGAGTCCCAGCTGCTCCACTTCCGATCCAGCTCTCTGCTGTGGCCTGGGAAAGCAGTAGAAGATGGCCCAAGTGCTGGGGCCCCTGCACCCACGTGGAATAACCAGAAGAAGCTCCTAGCTCCTGGCTTTGGTTCGGCTCAGCTCCAGCTGTTGCGGCCAAATGGGGAGTGAACCAGCAGATGGAAAACCTCTCTTTCTGCCTCTCCTCTCTCTGTATAACTCTGACTTTCAAATAAATAAATTAATTAAAAAAATACAATCCACACAATTTTTGTTTAAATATCAAAAACAATTAATTCTAAGTTTTACCCAATTCTCACTAAAATTAGATAATATGACTGCTTCAGCAGTTTGTAAGTGGAGATATAGTATTACTTTAATTTGCATTATTTAGCTACTAGCAAAACTTAAATTATTCAATTTGCTTGCTGATAAATTCTATTTCTTCTTTTGTAGAGTTTTATTCCTGTCCTTTGAAGACTTTTAGATTTGGGCCTATATGTTTTCTTTTTAATATATAAAGGGTTTTTTAAAAAAAAAAAAAGATTTATTTATTTATTTGAAAGTCAGAGTTAGAGAGAGGAGAGGCAGAGAGAGAGGTCTTCCATCTGATGGTTCACTCCTCAATTGGCCGCAACAGCCGGAGCTGCGCCAATCCAAAGCCAGGAGCCAGGAGCTTCTTCCGCGTCTCCCTCATGGGTGCGGGGCCCAAGGACTTGGGCCATCTTCCACTGTTTTCCCAGGCCACAACAGAGAGCTGGATTGGAAGTGGAGCAGCTGGATCTTGAACCGGCACCCATACGGGATGCCGGTGCTTCAGGCCAGCCCCTATATAAAGGTTTCATATTTAAAAATTAATTTTTGGCCTAGAGCTTAAGTCATTGGTTAAGAGTCCTCATCCCAAGTGCCTGGGTTCAATACACAATTCTGGCTCCTGAATCCAGTCTCCTGCTAAGGCAGACCAGGCTGGCAGTTAGTGATGGTTTCAGTGGTTGGGATCCTACCACTCACAAAAGAACTGGCCTGAGTTTCCAGCTCCTGGTTTTGACCTGACCTGGCACTGGCCTTTACAGGCAACTGGAGAATAAACCACTGGATGGAAGCTTTCTCTCTCTACTTCTCAAATAAATAAATGCAATGAAATAAAAATCCTTTACTAGCATCTTCGTTTCATATATCCTCACTTTATGTTGTTTTCCCCTTTTTTAAGTTAATTCATTTATTTAAAGGAAGAATTTCAGAGAGAAAAGGGGGAGAGAAAGAGATCTTCCATCTGCTGGTTCTCTCCCCAAATGACCACAAAGGCTGGGGCTGGGCCAGGCCAAAGCCAAGAGCCTGGAACTCCATTTGGGGCCCCAAGTAGGTGGTAGCGGCCCAAGCCATGGGCCATCTTCTGCTTTTCTAGGCACATTAGCAGGGAGATGGATCAGAAGTGGAGCAGCCAGACTCAAACAGGTGCTCAACACAGAATGCCGGCACTGCAGGGACCCGCTTAACCTCTGGGCCACACCAAATCCTGCTGTTTGCCTTTTAACTTGGGATTTCTGTTTTACATATGTAAGCTTTACATTTTATAGATTGAAATCTATTTTTCCTACATATTTAAGTTTTGTCTCATACATACACTTAGCTTCAGTTTTGGTAAGAAACATTCTATACGATTATCTTTTAACTTTTCTTTTTTATATTTTGTAGTTATACTTTGTCTATTACTAATTTGGTACATTTGCTACACAGCAGGAATTTGGAGTCTAAAATTGATCTTGCTTTCCACATTGCTAATGTATTACAGCATACGTTATTTCATGTATAAGAATCCCATTTCCCACTAATGTAGTACAGCATACGTTATTTCATTTATAAGAATCCCATTTCCCACTGATTTATGAAGGCTCAATCAATATTACATTCTTTCTCAATCACCATGGCTACCTCTGAAATACAGTGTATTGTATCAGTACCCAAACCCTTTTATTTTTCTAAACTCTTTTTTTCTTTCCTGTATCAAAATTATCCTAAAGTTCAAATTTCTAAAAAAAAGTCATTGTTTAAAAATTAAATTTCATTAAAGTTATATTCTAATTTGGGAAGACATAGCAACTTGAGTATTTAGTATTAGCTCTCTCTGCCTTTTTTCAAGTCTTCTTATACTAGGGGCTTCAAAAAGTTCATGGAAACAATTCCATTTTTCATATATGTATGGACAATGCCTGAAGTATTGCTTATATAAATCACACATATTAACCGTTTTACATTAATTATAATATACTATTCAACTGTTCCCTTTAGAACACTATCAGGCTAACTGGATATGAGTCAAAGGCCAGAAGAATAGCTTAAATCACACAGAACAAGAACAGAAATATCCAATTATTATCACAGTTTGGAACAATAAGATAGCCATAATGAAAGAAAACTTTTTACAAAACAATATAATGGACATTAAGAACAAATGTTGGCCGGCGCCGCGGCTCACTAGGCTAATCCTCCGCCGGATTCTGTCCCGGTTGCCCCTCTTCCAGGCCAGCTCTCTGCTGTGGCCAGGGAGTGCAGTGGAGGATGGCCCAGGTGCTTGGGCCCTGCACCCCATGGGAGACCAGGAAAAGCACCTGGCTCCTGGCTCCTGCCATCGGATCAGCGCGGTGCGCCGGCCGCAGTGCGCCGGCCGCGGCGGCCATTGGAGGGTGAACCAACGGCAAAGGAAGACCTTTCTCTCTGTCTCTCTCTCTCACTGTCCACTCTGCCTGTCAAAAAATAATAATAATAATAATAAAAAAGAACGAATGTTAAGCCAAATAATTTTTTTTCCTCTTAAAGTTTACTGCTCATGCACCCCATATACCTGCACAGTAAGATGAGGAGGATCCTTTTTTTCTGATTTCATTTCTACAACTGCTATGTTGGGCTTCTTCACTCCAGTTTCTTTTCTTTGAGATGATGGGGGAATAGAAGTAATCACAGTTACAGGGTGTGGCTTGTTCACAATTACTCCAGCAGGTGGAATGGAATCACTATTACTTTGAGTTTGTCCTAAGAAGTTTAGAGGAGAAATTGAGTCAAACATTTCAGAAATCAAAGGAAAAAGAAATCTACTACCCTACCTGGATCTTTGTGACTTTTTTTCTCCCAAGAAAGGAAAGAACCAACCTGACAATCCCCTCTGCCTCCACCTTGACCTCTGTCAACACTCATTGTGTAATCCTTTTAGCAGTATCAACATTTGTCGGGCACTTGAACGCATCAACCACTTCACATATACTAATTTAATAATTACAATAAAGGCTGTCAGGCACTAATATCACACACATTTTAAAACATATCAGGGCCAGCGCCATGGCTCACTTGGTTAATCCTCCACCTGCGGCGCCAGCATCCCTTATGGGTGCCAGGTTCTAGTCCTGGTTGCTCCTCTTCCAGCCCAGCTCTCTGCTGTGGCCTGGGAGGGCAGTGAAGGATGGCCCAAGTGCATGGGCCCCTGCATTCGCATGGGAGACCAGGAGAAGCACCCGGCTCCTGGCTTCGGATCAACACAGCGCCGGCTGTAGCAGCCATTTGGGGAGTGAACCAATGGAAGGAAGACCCTTCTCTCTGTCTCTCTCTCTCACTGTCTATAACTCTACCTGTCAAATTAAAAAAAAAAAAAAAAGTCAAAACTTGTTTGTTAAGGGGCTGGTGCTGCGGTGTAGCAGGTAAAGCTGCTGTCTGTGGCACCAGTATCCCATATAGGCACTGATTCAAGTTCCCGCTGCTCCACTTCAGATCCAGCTCCCTGCTAATGTGCCTGGGAAAGCAATGGAAGATGGCCCAAGTCATTGGGCCTCTGTACCTGAGGGGGAAACCTGGAAAAAGTTCCTGACTCCTAGCTTTGGATGGGCCCAGCTCCAGCCATTGCAGCGATTTGGGGAGTGAACCAGTGGACAGAAGATGTCTCTCTCTCTGTCTCTATAACTCGGCCTTTCAAATAAATAAATAAATCTTTTAAAAAAATCTGTTAGCTTTCATTTTTAAGTTTCATTTGCTTTCTACATTTCAAAGTAAAGAGAAACAGTCCAATGTATTTTTCAAAGCATACTCTAAAGCCAGACCACCTGAGTTGCAACCTTGGCTCCACTCTAGCTGTGAGGACTTTCAAAAATTACTTAACTCTTTGTGCCTCAGTTTATCTGTAAGACTGATAATACTGCCATATGCTTTATAGAGTGAATACATGTAGCGTGCTTAGTATAGTATCTGGTGCATATTAAGACAGTATGTTTGGAGACATTAATTAACTATCCGGTTGACATGCCATTAACACATCGAATAAAAAATTAACAATTATATTAAAATTATTCCAATGTAAATTATTTGTAAAAACTAAGAATAGCAATGACACTAAAAGAAAGAGAAGTTCTGGTGCTAAACCAAAAATTATTTGCTCAATTTTTAACATGATGACTGAGAGACCTCAAATAAATCAATAACCAATTATTGACTTAGAACATACCACCACACAAATTTTACTTAGCATGGCCTAGTTCAAAAGTACATAAAAGTACTTTAAAGTAATTCTCCCAAGTCATAACATTATTAACAAGCCAGTCAAAGTTCCTGAATTCTTATGAATATCCATCACATGTCAAAACATTTCATTAAATTTCATTTCATCCATAGCAATACCAAGAGAATGCTTACAGAACCCATCATTTGAGATCTAGATATTACACAGCATAAGATACATTCTGAGGCCCTCCCCACAAATATACACAACACATGCAGGAAAAGAGACTGTTGTGCCAGTACAATTTTTTTATGTTCCACTACTGCTAAGAATTTAAAACTCACCTCACCTGTTTTGTCGGTTCTTACCTAAAAGAATTGCCATGGGAATCAGATGACCTTCCAGTGTACCTGAAAAAGTAGGCATTTCTCTGCTTGGACTGAATACATACTGCTGATCCACACGAGGTAATGTAGCAAGGGAATGTTGCATTTTAGTATCCATCTTCACCGGCTTTGTTGCATAAAAGTCAGTCTGTGTTCTTATTGACTTGACTTTAGTGCCTGTGATAATCACCAATCGTAGATATTTAAAAATATTGCTTGTATATCTACCACCATCCAGCCCTCTAGAAATACAGCAACTCTTCTTTACAGAAGGAGTTCATTCTGTATTTTTTTTCTTTTGTAAATGCCATTTTATGTATGTGTGTACAAAGCAACAGCAGCAGTTACAAAATGTTGTCTGAGTAATTTTGAGAGCTCAAGAGTTCATTCTACATTAAGGTTACAGGGCCCCCAAAAAGAAGTAACATACAAACCAGAGGTTGGTAAATTTTTTCTCAAATGGCCAGACAGTAAAAATTTCAGTCTTGTAGGTCATCAGATCTCAGCTGCAACTACTCAAGGAGAGCAGCCAGGGACAATATATAAGCGAATGACCATGGCTAAGTTCATATAAACATTATTTACAGAACTAGAGAGCTCAGGCAAAGTTCACTAGCCTCTGAATAGATTCACAACTAGTAAAACCACTATGGCAGAGCAGACACAATGACTAGAAAAAAATGCTGAATAAAAAGCTTCTGAAGAATATTCAGACAGAATGTTTGAATACAATTTGTTTTTCCATAGGAACATTATTTGGAATTAGATTTCAACTTTTTTCTCATTACACCTTTAATCATAACTTAATTCTGAATAGCCAGTATTTACCCTTTGAAGCAATGTATAGATAATCTCATTTTATATCAACTTAAACCTTATAGAAGTTAGTCACTACACACTTTTTTCTATTCCTAATAAGTAGACCTATATAGACAATATAGTCTAAATTCTTAAAAAGATAAAAATTGAGGGGCTGGCACTGTGGGGTAGAGGGTAAAGCTGCAGGCTGCAGTGCCAGCATCCCGTATGGGCACCAGCTCAAGTCAACGGCTGTTCCACTTCCGATTCAGCTCTCTGCTATGGTCTGGAAAAGCAGAAGACGGCTCAAGTGCTGGGGACCCTGAACCCACGTGGGAGAATGGGAAGGGGCTCCTGGCTCCTGGCTTCGGATTAGCTCAGCTCTGGCTGGTGTGGCCATTTGGGGAGTGAACCAGCAGATGGAAGACTGTGGTGGAATGAGAAGGCCATGCCAAGATGGCCACTGGCAAGCCAGCGTCACTCAGGAATGGCTTTGGAAACCACCTGGCAACAGAGCCTGCCTGGCAACAGGCTGTGAATGGTTAGGGCATAAACCACTCCTTGACCAGATTGGCTGCCTCGGCTATATAAACTGCTGTACCAACTGAAATAAATGAGTCTGTGGGGTATTCACCTCTGGCCTACTTTCATCCAACTCCCGGGGTCTGTGTGGTGACTCCATGCCTCTTGCCCCCACCACACTCCTCCTCTCAGAACGAATCCACAGAAAAAGACCTCTCTCTCTCTCTCTCTCTCTCTCTCTCTCTATCTCCCTCTCTCTCTCTGCCTCTCTGTAGTTCTGCCTTTCAAATAAATAAGTCTTTTTAAAAAAAGGATAAAAATTGAGTTATCTGTCTCTTTGGAGAGGACAAATTTCTATGGAATCTAAGAAAAGTGAAGAAAAAAGTACAGAGGAAAAATGACTAAAATGTTTTTGAAGTAATTTCTTTTTGTTTTTAAAGATTTAATTCTTTGAAAGTCAGAGTTATACAGAAAGAGAAGGAAAGGCAGAGACAGAGTCTTCCATCTGCTGATTCACTCCCCAATCGGCTACAACGGCCAGAGCTGTGCCGATCTGAAGCCAGGAGCTTCTTCCAGGTTTTCCCATATGGATGCAGAAGCCCAAGGACTTGGGCCATCTTCCACTGCTTTCCCAGGCCATAGCAGAGAGCTGGATTGGAAAAGGAGCAGCCAGGACTCGAACCAGCGCCCATATAGAATGCCGGCACTGCAGGTGGCGGCTTTACCCATTATGCCACAATACCAGCCCCTTGAAGTAATTTCTTGACATTACTACATTTGCAAGTGTCTGAAGGAGGAGTTCTCCAGAGGGCCCAAAATCCCAGGATGGGCATATATCCACAGGCTCCCAATCACGCCCACCAAAGTAGAAATATTTTTTTAAAGATATATTTATTGTGGCCAGCGCTGTGGCGTAGCGGGTAAAGCTGCCACCTGCAGTGCCAGCATCCAATATGGGCACTGGTTCAAGTCTCAGCTGCTCCTCTTCCTACCCAGCTCTCCGCTATGGCTTGGGAAAGCAGTAGAGGATGGCCCAAGTCCTTGGGCCCCTGCACACATATGGGAAGACCTGGAGGAAACTCCTGGCTCCTGGCTTGGGATCAGCTCAGCTCCGAACCTCCAACTGTTGCAGCCAATTGGGGAGTGAACCAGTGGATAGAATTCTCTCTCTCTCTCTCTCCTCTCTCCCCTTTCCCCTCTCCTTCCCCCCCCCTTTCTGCCTTGCCTTCCCTCTCTGTGTAACTCTGAGTTTCAAGTGAACAAATAAATCTTTAAAAAAATAGATTCATTTATTTATTTGAAAGACAGAGTTACAGAAAGAGAGAGAGGGGTCTTCCATCCACTGATTCCTTCCCCATATGGCCACAATGTCAGGAGCTGGGCCAGGCCAAAACCAGGAGCTTCTTCCGGGTCTCCCACATGGGTGTGGGGTCCCAAGGATTTAGGTCATCCTCTGCTGCTCTCTCAGGCATATCAGCAGGGAGCTGGATTGGAAATGAAGCAGCAGGGACTCAAACAGGAGTCCATATGGGACACTGGTGCTGCAGGTGGCGGCTTTACCCAATACACCACAGCATCAGCCCCAAACTTCAATTTGGAGCCAGCCTTTGTGGTACAGTGAGCTTTGCCACCTAGAATGCTAGCATCCCATACTGGATCACCCATTGAAGTCCCAGTTGCTCTACTTCTGATCCAGCTCCGTGCTAATGTGCCTGGAAAAGCAGCAGAAGATGACCCAAGTACATTTTTTAATCTTTGCTCTCAAAAGCTCTTTGAAGACAAACAAAACAGTCAAGTGGGCAGGGTTGGGGAACACCAGGCCTATGTGCCACATAAGGCCCACAGAATCATTTGGTCTAGCCCTGCCAAGGCAACTGCAGGGCAGGACTCAAAATTCAGTAATTTTTAAGTTGATAATTTTGTACAGCCCATGAATGATGTAATACATATACAAATGGCCCTTGGCAGGAAAGACCTCCCCACCCCTGCTACAACAGTAGATGGCATATAGCTGATCTTTCTGTTCTTAACAATATGATGGACCAAAGAATTCAAGGAAATGTCTACTCTTTCTAGATAATAATTATGATTAATCAAGATTCATTATCTCCTAAATAAGAATTTTATGATGCTTTATCTGAAGATACCATTTAATCCTAAATTACTTCCAACTTATTCCTATCTTGTATCTTAATCTTTAAATTATGGTCTTTTTTTAAGATTTATTTATTTATTTGAAAAGCAAGACAGAGAAGGAGAGACAGAGAGAGAGAGATCTTCCATCCACTGGTTCACTTCCCAAATGGCTTCAATGGCGGAGGCTGGGCTAAGCCAAAGCCAGGAGCTTCTTCTGGGTCTCCCACATGGGTTCAAGGACCCAAGGACTTGGCTCATCCTCTGCTGCTTTCCTGGGCACAATAGCAGGGAGCTGGATCAGAAGTAGAGCAGCTGGGTATCAAACTGGTGCCCATATGGGATGGTAACAATGCAGACAGTAGCTTAACCCACTATGTCACAACACTAGCCCCTAAATTCTGGTCTATTTCTTTTTTTTTTTTTTTTTAAAGATTTATTTATTTCTTCGAAAGCAGAGTTACACAAAGAGAGGAGAGGCAGAGAGAAAGAGAGAGAGAGAAAGAGAGAAAGAGAGAGGTCTTCCATCCAATGGTTCACTCCCCAGATGACCTCAATGGCCGGCGCTGCGCCGATCCAAAGCCAGGAGCCAGGAGCTTCTTCCAGATCTCCCATGCTGGTGTAGGGGCCCAAGGACTTGGGCCATCTTCTACTGCTTTCCCAGGCCACAGCAGAGAGCTGGACTGGAAGAGAGCAGCGGGGTCTCGAACCGGCGCCCATATGGGATGCTGGCGCTTCAGGCCACAGCATTAACCCACTGCGCCACAGCGCTGGCCCCTGGTCTATTTCTTCTTACCTCCCCTAGAAGGAATCATTCTTCCATCTCTAAACATTATATAATTTGAACTGTTTTTCTAACTAATAAATAAAAAGCAAACAAAAGGAAATTTTCATATGAAACTGATACCATAGAAAATGAGGTTGAACACAAAAAATAAAGTTCTTTACCTTTAACTCGTTCTATTACTCTTGGTCTCTGTGGCTTGGATTTAGGAGATGGAGAATTAAATCTGAGATACGGTCCTTTTTTAAGAGTGCTGCGATGACCCTGATAAACTGGTTTTCCATAAATTTGTAACATATAATCCTCATCTTGTATCACTGCAGTTGCTTTCAAAACCCCCTGTATACACAAAGTTACTCAATTCACCACCAAATATTTATCTCATTTTTCTAAAGTCATCAGTTATCTAATTTTTCTAAAGCCTCCTGTTGCTAGCTTAAGTACAATGATAATTACCAGGTTAGAAAAATCCTCTGTCTTATACAGTCTTTAAATTCTGGATATAATCTTCAAACATTAGTTCATTATAAATATAAAAATCATCCACCCTAGAACTATGAAGGGTCTTGCATTACTAAGCATATTCAATACTAAAAAGGTAATGCTTAAAAACATTTTATATATTTCTTATATTCAACTAAAATAAAAATCAATAAACCTAATCTTTATATGACTTTACACATTCCTGACCCCACCTAAAACCATAATCTAAATACCACCAAAAGGCAGCATTTATTGAGCATCAACTAAGTGCCAAGCACTGAATTAGATGCTTTACTAATCTGCTCAATGTTTGGAATTAAGAAAGTTAGCTTAACTAGAGCAATCAAAAAAATTCCCTTCATGGCATCCAGTACCATGCATTGCACTCACTAGGCAGTAAACATGAATTTGTTAACCTGATAAAGATCATGTATGCATGATATGTATGTATATATTTTAAAAGGAACACACTTTTGAGTACCATGAACTAGAAAATATAGTTTTTAGACTGGATGATCTCTAGATAAACCCGCTATAAATATAAAAATAGGTTCTAAATGTGAGATCTCAGACAGAAGAAACAATGGATTTTGTGTAGTGCTCTGCATAGTCTGGATCCCAAACTCTAAATATCAGTAGTGTAAAGACAGTTGACAATGGTATAGTCCTTCATATTTTTAAGGCATCTTCATTTATATCTTAAAGAAAATGATCAATTACAATGCAAATTTTATGTCACAAAACCAGATCAGGATCTTACTTCTTTCCTCTCTTTTTTCTGTAAACTCGAGGCGGGGGTGTTCCTCACTGGTAGAGTTCTAAAATGCTCCTCTACTTGTTTGTGAGAATATTTTCTTGGAATTGCAGATTTGTTTACAGTTTTGTCTTGTGTGTTGGCTTTAATATCTTTACTCATATTCTGAGCTTTCTTGTTCCTTTGAATCTTCTGATCAAATCTTTTTTGTTCATAATCTTTTCTTGTCAGCTCATCCTTAACATAAATAAAATTAAAACTACTTAAAATCCATGAAAAAATAATGCTGTCATACCACAAACTCTTATAATTTATTTTTGCTCTTATATAAACATAGTTGGCAATTTTAAAGACTTTAAAGACTACTGGCTTATATATGAATAAAAATTTTCTAGAAGAATAAAAGACTGATATCTTAAGGATCAGGGTAAAAGAGGAACAGGGGTAAGAGGGTACATCTTTGCTTGCAATGATAAACCATTTTATAATATAAATGTTGATGCTTGAACCATGTGAATTTGTAACTACATTAAAAAATAAATGAGGGGCCGACACTGTGGCGCAATAGGTTAAATCTCCGCCAGCAGTGCCGGCATCCCATATGAGTGGCGGTTCAAGTTCCGGCTGCTCCAATTCCCATCCAGCTCTCTGCTATGGCCTGGGAAAGCAGTGGAAGACGGCCCAAGTCCTTGGGCCCCTGCACCCGTGTGTGAGACCCTAAAGAGGCTTCTGACTCCTGGCTTTGGATCGGTGCAGCTCTGGCCATTGCAGCCATTTTGGGAGTGAGCCAGCAGATGGAGGACCTTTCTCCCTGTCTCTCCCTCTCACTGTCTGTAACTCTATCTCTCAAATAAATAAAACTTTTAAAAAGTGTTTAATTAAATAAATAAATAAATAAGTTTCCAAAAAAAGGCAAACATTTATAAATTAAATGATTTGAAGATTTAAACACACGGTTCCATATGGAATTCAGAGTAATAGAAGGACATACCCAGACTCTGAATCTTCTGACTCTTACTTCATCTTACTACAGCTTTGTTTCTGGGGCATTGCATAACAGAGGAAACAAATTCTTCATTATTACGTTAGATATATATTCTTTTTTTTTTTTTTTTTTTTTTTTTTTTTTTTTGACAGGCAGAGTGGACAGTGAGAGAGAGAGACAGAGAGAAAGGTCTTCCTTTGCCGTTGGTTCACCCTCCAATGGCCGCCGCGGCCGGCGCGCTGCGGCCGGCGCACCGCGCTGATCCGATGGCAGGAGCCAGGAGCCAGGAGCTTTTCCTGGTCTCCCATGGGGTGCAGGGCCCAAGCACCTGGGCCATCCTCCACTGCACTCCCTGGCCACAGCAGAGGGCTGGCCTGGAAGAGGGGCAACCGGGACAGAATCCGGCGCCCCGACCGGGACTAGAACCCGGTGTGCCGGCGCCGCTAGGCGGAGGATTAGCCTAGTGAGCCGCGGCGCCGGCAAGATATATATTCTTAAGCAGCAAAGTTTCAAAACATATTTCTGTGTTTACCTTGAGTAAGCATGCAAGCACATTTTAAGGTTCAGGGGGAAGAAAAACCCATTTATCTAGTTCTGCTCTCCCAAATATATAACCTTTAAGAATTTCCTTTAAATTACTAAACCTTTGAAAAAACTAGCTCCAGAATCTTGTATCACTGATGTCCAAAGACATACCATGTCCTTTGTGGATGTGAGAAAGAGGCTGCAAATTCAGTACCATGGTAATCTAGCAGGGGTTTTCCCCTTTAAATAAGCGTTACTAGTGTTCTCACTTTGGTGAACCCAGGCTTCTCCATCTGCTGGGTTATTTCTTTTTAAGATTTATTTATTTATTTTGAAAGTCAGAGTTACATAGAGAGGAAGAGACACACAGAGAGAGAGATATTACATCTGCTGGTTCACTCCCCAGATGACTGCAGTGGCCAGGGCTGGGTCAGGCTGAAAGCAGGAGCCAGGAGCCCTATCTGGGTCTCCCACATGGGTGGTAGGGGCCCAAACACTTGGACCATTTTTTGCTGCTTTTCCCAGACCACTAGGCAAGGAGCTAGATCGAAACGGAGCAGCCAGGACATGAACCATGGCCCATATGAGATGTCAGCATCTCAAGCAGTGGTGTTATCTACTATACCATGATGCAGGTCCCCCAAAATCTGCTATCTTGGAATATCTTGGCAACTATAATTCTTTTCTTGTCTAAATATTATAGCTGAATTATATTTTAGCTATTATGCAACAGCTTGCCATATAAGACCCACAGTATAATTTATCAGATAAAGTACTTATTAAAATCGAATTTATCGTAAGTAAATATAAAGTGACAGAGTGAAATTAAGAACTATAAGTGGACTTATATATAAGGAATATTTGGAGAGCAAGGGTGATACTTATAAATTGGAATCAATGCTATCATCTGAGAACTCACTTAATTTTCAATTTTTTCAAAGCCATACCTGAATTTCTGCAGAAATAGTTTTAATCCACTCATCTACTGTCTTCTTAATCCTAATCTTCTCTGATATTTCCCTACAAAACAGAAAAAGTGTTCTTAAATTGGCATTTCATATCCTGACAACAGGGTCTTGATTGGCTCTAACTCTTATTTAGTTTTGAATTTATAAAATATGCTTCATCTGAAAAGGAAAAACCAAAGTCATTAGTTTTCAGCAACTATATGAAAGATAAGTCTTTTTTTTTTTTTTTTTTGACAGGCAGAGTGGACAGTGAGAGAGAGAGAGAGACAGAGAAAGGTCTTCCTTTTGCTGCTGGTTCACCCTCCAATGGCCGCCGCGGCCGGCATGCTGCAGCTGGCGCATCACACTGATCCAAAGCCAGGAGCCAGGTGCTTCTCCTGGTCTCCCATGTGGGTGCAGGGCCCAAGGACTTGGGCCATCCTCCACTACACTCCCTGGCCACAGCAGAGAGCTGGCCTGGAAGAGGGGCAACCGGGACAGAATCCGGCGCCCCGACTGGGACTAGAACCCAGTGTGCCAGTGCCGCAAGGCGGAGGATTAGCCTAGTGAGCCGTGGCGCCGGCCTGAAAGATAAGTCTTTTAAAAGAACCATAGAAGATGTGTACCAAAAAGAGAAAAAAAAATTAAAAAGAAAATTTCCATTGGAAAAACTCGTACCACCAAATATATATCCAAATTCCAACTTTATAATAAGTTCCACATTTTCAAAACCAATAAATGACATTTTCTAAATATTGAAACACTTTAAGTAAGGTGAAAGATTTAGTAAAAAAAAATGTTTAAAGCAAAGTGGGAGCGTCATAAATTTCGTGGGGATGTCACCATCCCGCCTACCTATCTGTAGACAAAGCACTGATGAAGGAATACACGGCAGCTCCATCCTTCGCACGGATAATAGCTTCCAAGTTTTCTTCAAGTACTTTTTTATTGTTTTGTACTCCTCTCAAAATCTTCTCAGCATCCTTCAAAACAGATCTTGTCGTGCTGGCCGTTCGAAGCTTAGCTGAATTCTGTGGGAGATCAGCAAGCCTCAACATCAGAGATTCTTTTGCCTTAAAAGAAAAACAGGCAAAAAGTTATCACACAAAGTTGACATTGATTATTTTAATCCAATCAAGAGCAATTACTGCTATTGCTATCCTTGTGGCCCTATTCTATGTCAACATATTCCAAGAACTCAATTTGTCAGACTGAAGAGTGACAAAAGAATACTCGGCAATTATAGATTTGTATGTCTGCATTTAGAAGTACTAACAAGAGTGTTAAATAAAATACAGATAGGAGATCCATAGAAGTGTTAGATAACCCAGTGGCCAGTGAAAGATCTGCTGGAGAAAGCTAAAATCAAGTAAGAGAACGTTAGCTCTAAGTGGGGCAGAGCCTGCAGATCAGACAAACAAGAACCATTTACACACTGGGGCCATTCATGGCCTCTTCCCTTTCTCCTTCTCCAGAAGCAGCTGGAAGCCACAGAGGGCCATGTGTCTCAGTCCTTGCCAAGCAGTGCTAAATAGAGGCCACTTGGGCAGGGTTCTGGGAAAGTGGCTGAAGTGTCTCTTTCACTGCTTTATCTTCACATTTCCTCTTGATGTCTATCTTCATAACTTCTTAATTCCTCCCTGATTTTCACCTTTACACACCATCAATTTTTAACACCTTACCTGGAGCATGCCGTCTGTATCTTTGTTCTTTTGGCCAAGATCAGGAAGAGTGTCTTCAGACTTCTGTGCAGTCACTTCAGCTGTTCCTAGCTCTTCATAGGAAGGAAATCTTTGAGAAGGCTGAGTTTCAAAGCTACAGAAGATTAAAAAAAATTTTCTATTATCATAAATTTAAAAAGCATACGACTACACAAATTTTTTAAACATTCTATTTGAAAGGTAGTTATATATTACTAAATGGTATCCCATTAAGCAGTTATGTAATGAACATATTAAACAGAAAATCATAAGACAAAATTAAACTGACAGAAAGGTATAGGGACAGAAGGGAAAAAAGAAATAGGTTTTTCATTCAATACATTAACATTCAGAAGTATTTCCAAATCAGTGGGACAAAGCTAATCTGCCATAAAAGTGAGAATACGACCAAAATCATTAAATTTTTTCAGAACTCTGACAATTAAAAAAAAAAAGCTTGCAACAAGTCATATTTATTTAAGAAAAATACCCAACTCCCAGTAAGAAGAGTAAGCTTTATAGCAGTTTTATATTTGCCCCAACCTCAGGCCCCTTTCCCTAAATCTGTGGTAGCTCTGAAAACAAACAGCCTTGCAGCTCCAGCGCCAGGGGTAAAGCTGCTGCCTGTAGCACCGGCATCCCATATAGGCCTGGCTGCTCCACTTCGGATCCAGCTCCATGCTAATGTGCCTGGGAAAGCTCCACAAGATGGCCCAAGAGCTTGGAACTCTACACCCACATAGGAGATCCAGAAAAAGCTCTGGGTCCTGGCTTTGGACCAGCCCAGCTCTGGCCATTGTGGCTATTTGGTGAGTGAACCAGCAGACAAAAGTGCTCTCGTGCTCTCTCTTTCACTCTCTCTCTCTCTCTGTAACTCTGCCTTTCAAATAAATAAATCATTAAAAACAAAAAGTCTCATAAAAAAAAAGATACTAAATAAATCAGTTCAGAAACTTAAAGGAAAGTCTAAGAACAAAGTCTTGCCAAATAAAGAATGACCAATAACGAGAGGGAGGTTGGGGCCAGTGCCGTGGCTCACTTGGTTAATCCTCCACCTGCGGCACCGGCATTCCATATGGGCGCTGGGTTCTAGTCCCGGTTGCTCCTCTTCCAGTCCAGCTCTCTGCTGCGGCCCGGGAGGGCAGTGGAGGATGGCCCAAATGCTTGGACCCCTGCACCTGCATCGGAGACCAGGAAGAAGTACCTGGCTCCTGGCTTCGGATCGGCGTAGCTCCGTCCGTAGCAGCTATTTAGGGAGTAAACCAACAGAAGAAGACCTTTCTCTCTGTTTCTCTCTCTCACTGTCTAACTCTATCTGTCAAATAAAAAAAAATAATAATGAGAGGGTGAGAGGGAGGAAGAGAGGAGGAGCAGGAGGAAGAGGAGGAGGAAGAAAAGGAAAAGAAGTTATATAGCACAATGGCAGAGATAAATCCTACCTCATTAGTAGTTATATTAAATGCAAATAACATTGTACAATCTTTCCATATAAAATTACTAAAAATGTAGCTCTTAGTTTTTATTACTGTAGTTTTCATAAGTATGATTATTACAGCCAGATTTACTTGGTTTTTCATAAAGTTTTTAATGTGTAGGCAGACATCGTTGTGCAGCAGGTTACGCCATCACTTGTAAGGTCCACATTCCATAATGGAGGGCCTGGGATCAAGTCCCACTTCTGCTTCTGATCCAGCTTCCTGCTAATGCACCTTGGAGGCAGCAGATGACAGCCCAAGTAACTGGATACATCCCACCTACATGGTAGACCAGGGTGGAGTTCCTGGTTCCTGGCTTTGACCTGGCCCAGTCCCTGCTGCTGTGGCTATTTTGGAAGGGAACCAACAGGGGAGATCAATAGCTCTCTCTCTTTCTCCCTCCTTCCCTCTCCCTCCCTCCCTCTCTCTCTCTCTCGCTCTCTCTCTGTCTCTCTCTCCCTTTCAAAGAAATAAAAATAAAGAGCACCTAAAAAAGCTTATGTAAGAGTTCAAACATACAGAAAAGTAAAGAAAACAAAACAATGAATCTCCATTTACCCATTATTTAATTACAACAATTATTAACCCATGGCTATCCTCCTTTCTTCTATATTCCCAACCTACTTCTCCGCACCCTGCATCAAATTATTTTAGAAGCAGGCCAGCGCTGCGGCTCACTAGGCTAATCCTCCGCCTTGCGGCGCCGGCACACAGGGTTCTAGTCCCGGTCGGGGTGCCAGATTCTGTCCCGGTTGCCCCTCTTCCAGGCCAGCTCTCTGCTGTGGCCCGGGAGTGCAGTGGAGGATGGCCCAAGTGCTTGGGCCCTGCACCCCATGGGAGACCAGGATAAGTACCTGGCTCCTATCATCGGATCAGCGCGGTGCGCCGGCCGCAGCGCGCTGGCCGCCGCAGCCATTGGAGGGTGAACCAACGGCATAGGAAGACCTTTCTCACTGTCTCTCTCTCTCTCACTATCCACTCTGCCTGTCAAAAAAAAAATTATTTTAGAAGCAAATTCTAGTTATTTCATCAGTACCCTGATAAAATTAGATACTTACTACATGACTATATTATAGAAAAATGAGAAGATATATTAGTTTCATCTACTAAACCTTTGACAATTTTTTAAAAAGCAATGCTGTAATTTACTAAAATCTTAAAGAAATTTTCAAAGTTCCTTTCAATTTAGCTTTCACTACAATCTCTTGTTTTTACCTGTTTTTCTCAGGATTCCATCCCATTTTTGACACAGTTAGTGATGTTAAATCTGATTCACTTTTTCTTGTCAAAGAATCATTATTATTCAAAATTTGTTCCAAGAGTCTTACTTTATCTACAATAAAGAAATACAGGATCAAATACCAATTCATTTCTCTTTTATATAATATCTCATATATATTTGTAAACTGGTCTAAATTAGTTTCTTATGACACTCAACTCACTGTACAATTGCTGTGGCTTGAATGCATCCCCCAAATTTAAGTGTTAGAAACTCAGTCCTCCAACTCATATGTTAATGGTACTGGTGAGGTAGATAGAACCTGTGGGAGTTGATTGGGTCATGAAGGCTTGACCCTCACAAATGGGTTAACCCATGGATCAATGGGTCACTGAAGGAGTGGCCTTGTTATAACAGTGAAAGCAGTTGGCACTCTAGTGTAGTAGGCTAAGGCTCAGCCTGTGGTGCCGGCATCCCACATGGGCACCAGTTCAGCTGTTCCTCTTCCGATCCAGCTCTCTGCTATGGTCTGGAAAAGCAGTAGAAGATGGCTCAAATGCTTCGGATCCTGCACCCTCAACAGAGACCCCAAGAAGTTCCTGGTTCCTGGCTTCGGCCTGGCCCAGCTCTGGCCGTTGTACCCATTTGGGGAGTGAATCAGCAGATGGAAGACCTTTCTCTCTGTCTCTCCCTCTGTCTGTAACTCTACCTCTCAACTAAATAAATAAAATCTTTAAAACATAAAAAATAAACTTAAAAATTTTAAAAAGGACTCAACTCTGCTGTTTTTTTTTTGTTTGTTTTTTTTTTTTTTTTAAAGTGAACTCTTGGGCCAGCACTGTGGCGCAGCATGATAAGCCACCTTCTGCAGTCTGCAGTGCTGGAATCCCATACAGACTCCAGTTCGAGTCTTGGCTGCTCCACTTCTGATCCAGCTCCCTGTTAATGCACCTGAGAAGGCAGCGGAAGATGCCCAAATGCTTGGGAGCCTGCAACCACGAGGCTGGAAGAAGTTCCTGGCTCCTGGCTTTGGCCCAACCCAACCCCCGCTGTTGTGGCAATTTGGGGACTGAACTAATGGATGTAAAATCTCTCTCCTCTGTAACTCTGACTTTCAGATAAATAAATCTTTTCTTTTTTCTTTAAGTGAGCTCTCAGGCTAGATTGCTTGGCTTTGCCATGAGATGCCCTCCATCATGTGTGATGACTCAGCAAAAAAGGCCCTCACCAGATGCCAAGCAGATGCCTGCACTGTGCTCTTGACCTTCCAGAGCAGTGGGTTAAACCCTTTTTCTCTATAAATAACCCAGTTTGTGGCACTGTGTCCTAGCAACAGAAAACGGACTAAGACAACAATTTAAGCTATAAATATGCTCACCAGATAAAATCAAATATTTACAGCACATAAAAATTATATAGGGGCCGGCGCCGCGGCTCACTAGGCTAATCCTCCAGCCTTGCGGCGTTGGCACACCGGGTTCTAGTCCCAGTCGGGGCGCCGGATTCTGTCCCGGTTGCCCCTCTTCCAGGCCAGCTCTCTGCTGTGGCCAGGGAGTGCAGTGAAGGATGGCCCAAGTGCTTGGGCCCTGCACCCCATGGCAGACCAGGATAAGTACCTGGCTCCTGGCTCCTGCCTTCGGATAGGCGCGGTACGCCAGCCGCGGTGGCCATTGGAGGGTGAACCAAAGGCAAAAGGAAGACCTCACTCTCTCTCTCTCTCTCTCACTGTCCACTCTGCCTGTAAAAAAAAAAAAAATTATATAGGTCACAGTTTAAATTATAAAGCCTGAACTTATCTCCATCACAGACAGAAGGAATATAAGTGAGAGGTTCCATAATCACAAAGCCCAGTGACTGGACTGTTTGCATAATTAGTGAAAAGGAAACCTGCTTCTTCATAGCACAACTCGCCTTCCCCTTAGCCCTGTTTTTAGTGAGACTATGTAAAAATTTTTTGTAAGATTGATTTCTTTATTAAAGATTGTATTATTTAATAAATTCCTCAGAACTCTCTGAATGTGCCTGAGACAAAACTTAAATGCATTTCAATGATTCCAAGATCAGAAGGCTATAGTTTCATTTTCTGCTATTATGACTACAATGGCTACAGTTTAAGGATTTGTGGCACATTATTATTTCAAGTCACTTAGGAAAGTCCTTGTTATCTATTAAAAAGTTCCCATATATTAGCAAGTGTACATGCTTGATAAATATACATGGTGATAAATGTGAAATTTCTGCGTTTTATTACTGAATTCATACCTAAAAACAATACAAGGAAACATGATCTAAAAATGATTAGCCTTACTTTTAGTAAAGCATTATTTTTAATTATTAATAACAAAATTGTACATTAAAGATTTAAATAACAACCCACATGAGATGGCCAGGATAATTATAAAGGTGTACCTTCAACTCCTTCTACAAATAATCTAAAGAAGCCTGATTTGCCCAGTACCTACCACTCAAAAGAAAACATTAAAAACAGGAATTCCACTTCAGTAAGTATTAGACACACAGAATTAGAAATTATGAGAAAAGAAATATCATAATAATTTACTAATTCAAGAGGTCTAGTAAAAGGTAGAGGGCAGTTAGAATTTCTCTCTTACTTCTTTGACCCAACATGTCCATATTTTCTTTTTCTTCCATAGGATTTTCCCTCTTTGATATTTCATCATTCCTTGAAACAGGTACAGGAGCAAACCTGCGAGGTGCTGGGGTCTCTAAAGGAGATTTCTGTTTATCAAAATCCAAATCTTCAACTTCTCTTAAAGGTGCTTTAATGGCAAATAAAAAAATAATAAATTTTATTTAAAGTTTTTTTAATTGTAGATATCCTGCTTCCTCATACTTTAAAAAATGAAACCAAATTATATGATACACAAATTACTAACAAGTATATGGAAATAAGTTCATCCTCACTTGAAATATAAAGAAATGAAGACTATAAACACTGTACATTTACAGCTGGTAATGCATCAACATGAGAAAAGTATTATTGAAGTTGTGGTAAAAATGGCAGAGCCAGACTCCTCATGACAATGAAACTGTTAAGCTGTACTTTGTCTCTCTTTTCACAACTTAAAAAAAACTGACTTGGATTACTTCACAACATTTTTGCAAGAACCACTTATTCACTGCAAAAAGTCAAGCACCTTACACATGTTCTGCACTGAGGTGCAGCAGGCTAAGCTGCCACCTGAGACACTTACATTCCACACTGGAATGTTGGCTCAAGCACTGGTCCAACTCCCTATTAATGCACCTGAAAAAGCTGTGGAGGATGGCCATGTGGGAGATTCAGATGGAGTCCCAGGCTCCCGGCTTCAGTCTAGCCCAGCCCTAGCTGCTGCAGCCACTGGGGACTGAATCAGCAGATGAAAGATCAATTTTTCTCTCTCTCTTAATCCCTTTCTCTCTTTGCCTTTCAAATAAATAATATTTTTAAAAAGGGTCTTTAATGACTGTAATAAAACAATGTTATAAATCAAATGTTACAAATATTGCTCTACATGGATTTTTAGTTCATTATTCAAATATCAATAATTGGGAAGCATTTATTTAAGAAGCTATGTATTTTTTATTACAAATAGTTTTTAAATTCTATTAAGATACACAGAGTTGCATTAGGAACTCTGAAAATATTCAAAAATACAGTGGTCCCCCCTTTCCAGAGCCTACTTTCCAAGGCCCCCTGGCGGTGCCTAAAACCACAGACAGTCCCAAACCCTACATACACTATGTTTCTTCCCTATACAGACCAAGGATATTTAAAAAGTTCATGGAAAATGCTATTATGAAAAAACCATGCATGGGGTTAAATTTTTTGCAGCAAAATAAACTCATCTTTTAATTCCCATTTTCCACAGGTTCAGGAACACAGTGATACTTCCCACACTACCTTCCCTCTCACCCACACTCCCATCCTTCTTCCTCCTCCCTCTCCTATTCCCATTCTTAATTTTAAAAAGAGCTCTTTTCAGTTAACTTTATACTCATAAGATTAACTCTGTACTAAGTAGAGTTCGACAAATAATATGAGGAAATGAATATTGTTCCTCAACAGTCAAGACAAACTGTAAACAATCATCAACTCTCAAAACGTCAAGCTCACTCCTACAGATTACCTCACAAAAGAGTTTTAGGGGTGGGCATCTGGCACAGCGATTAATACACTGCTTCAGATGCCAGCATCCCATCCTGGAGGACCAAGGCTCAGGTCCTGGCCCTGCTTCCTACTGCAGCTTCTTGCTGATGTGTACCTGGGAAGGGGGAGGTGATGGCTCAGGTACAGTGTACAGCGCAGCGTGGGCTGCTGAGCACAGACGGGTGATGCTCACGCTGGGCAGGACTGAGGAAGATGGCACGAGGTTTTGTCACGTTACTCAGAATGGCACACAACTCAGAACTCATGAATTGTTTATTTTCCACTGAATACTTCACAACCATGGATGATCATGGGTAAATGAACCGCAGAGAAATGGGAATTATCGTAATTTATTATAGTTTCTCTCCTGACAGAAATCATGAAAGACAGTAAATATCCAGTTTTTTAGACAAATGAAGAATTGATTTATCATAAGCACTCCTAATACCAGGTAGATAATATTTTTCCTAAATTTGCAAGTATCCCTGATAATTTATTATTTAAAACCATAGATTGGGATATGGTCTCTAATTTGAAAAAGTTTCAAAACACCTAAAAAAACTACTTTTCCTATAGAAAACAACTAATTTTATTTTTAAAAGACTATAAATTTTTAGGAAACAAAGGCTCCTTCCACTTGGTTAATAAGTGTTCAGCTTACAGAGCACAAAGACAATTCACAGCTGACATTTTATTCATAGTAAAATTCAGGTTTTTACCTTGTTTGGAAGCAAATGTGCTGCGTGAGGACAGATTCCTGCCCCCAAGGTCAGGATGCTCTGCTCTTACAGGACACCTCTCCACTGCTCTGGAAGCGGGCAGGTCAGCAGGCTGAAAACTACTAGTCCTGAGTGCAGCGCTAATAAAATGAGTCTAGAAGACATAAAGTTGTTTTATTAATTTCAAGTACCATTTGAAAGAGATGATAAAAGAGATTTATTAGCGACTTGAAAACAATTTACTACATTCAATAAAAAAAAGGAAAGCAAAGAAGGGGGAGTCTTCAGAAAGTTCAAAGAAAATGTGTATTATGAAAAAATGCCTACATTTCAAAACTTTTTAAAGAATTATTTATTTATTTTTGAAAGACAACGCGATAGAGGGAGAAACGGAAAGATCTTCCATACACTGGTACACTCCCCAAGACGGCTGCCACAGCCAGGGCTGGGCCAGGGTGAAGCTAGGCGCTGAGAACCCCAACCAAGTTACAGCATAGCTATCCGCTGCCCTAGTAGTAGCAGAGCTGCCACTGGAAGGATGTAGTAACACAAAGAACTGGCTTCAGCTGACTCTGCCGTGTGAGTTTAACCATATTCCTTAAACCATTCTAAACCATCCTTCCAACCCCAGAGATGGCAAAGGGGCTGCAACAATAGATGGAGAGAGGAACAGGAAGGAGGGGTCCTAGCTCTGAGTTTTGAAAATTTAAACTTCAACCAGAAAACTTAAAACCAAAACATCTCAGTAGGTTAATCCTCCGCCTGAGGCGCCGGCATCCCATATGGGCCCCGTTCTAGTTCCAGCTGCTCCTCTTCCAATCCAGCTCTCTGCTATGGCCTGGGAAAGCAGTACAAGATGGCCCAAATCCTTGGGCCCTTGTACCCATGTGGGAGACCTGGAAGAAGCTCTTAGCTCCTGGCTTCAGATCAGCACAGCTCCACCCATTGTGGCCATCTGGGGAGTGAACCAGCGGACCTTTCTCTCTGTCCCACCCTCTCACTATTTGTAACTCTACCTCTCAAATAAATAAATAAAATCTTTAAAAAAAATCTCATTCTTTATATCCTGGATGGTAAGATTAGTTTGAAGTAATGGTTTGAAAGCCATTGATAGAACACACTCTAACATAGTAGCTATGCTTAGCAGCAATAATAATGCACACATTTCTGTATAAACGGGAGCTATCATGACAACGGTTTTCAGCACTGTATCAAAAATATCTGAAGTATGTAACTTAACTAAGAAAAACAATTTCTTTTTTAAATTTTGTTTAAGGTATACAAATGTCATGTATTTCCTACCTACAGATTCAGGAACACAGTGATACTTCCCACACTACCTTCCCTCCCGCCCACGCTCCCATCCTCCTCCTCCTCCCTCTCCTATTCCCATTCTTAACTTTTACAAAGAGCTATTCATTGTTTTATGTTGTTATTTGTTTTTTTTTTTTTGACAGGCAGCGTTAGATAGTGAGAGAGAAAGAGAGAAAGGTCCTCCTTCCATTGGTTCACTCCCCAAATGGCCGCTATGACCGGCGCTGTGCCGATCCGAAGCCAGGAGCCAGGTGCTTCTTCCTGGTCTCCCAAGCAGGTGCAGGGCCCAAGCACTTGGGCCATCCTCCACTGCCCTCCCGGGCCACAGCAGACAGCTGGACTGGAAGAGGGGCAACTGGGACAGAATCTGGCGCCCCAACCGGGACTAGTACCCAGGGCCCCAACCGGGACTAGAACCCAGGGTGCCAGCACCACAGGCAGAGGATTAGCCAAGTAAGCCATGGCACTGGCCCAAAGAGCTATTCTCAGTTAACTTTATACTCATAAGATTAACTTTTTACTAAGTAAAGAGTTCAACAAACAGGATAAAGAAAAAACAATGTTCCTCAACAGTCTAGAAAAGCTGTAAACAATCATCAACTCTCAAAATGTCAAGCTCACTCCTACAGACTGCCTTCCAAAAGAGAGTTGTAGGGGTGGGCATTTGGCACTGCTTCAGATGCCAGCATCCCATACTGGAGGACCTAGGCTCAGGTCCTGCCCTGCTTCCTACTGCAGCTTCTTGCTGACGGTACCCTGGGAAGGGGAAGGTGATGGCTCAGGCACACAGGTCCCTGACACCCGTGCGGCAGACCCGGATGGATTTCAGTCTCTGGGCCGAGGCCCAGGCCTGGCCCATGTGGGCATTTGGGGAATCAATTAGCAGACGGAAGATCTCTCTTTGTTTTTCAAGTGAATTAAAAAAAAATTTAAGGAAAGTTTTATACCAGAGCAAAAACACCTAAAAGGGGCCCATTGTTGTAGTGTAGCAGGTTTAGCCTCCCTGCCTGCTTCACACATGTTCCATACGGGCGCCAGCTCACGACCCGGCTGCTTCACAACTGATCCCACTCTGTTAGTGCACCTGGAAAAGCAGCGGAAGATGGCCCAAGTCTTTGGGCCCCTGCACTCACATAGGAGACCCGGAGGAAGCTCTCGGCTCCTGGCCTTGGCCTGGCCCAGCCCTGACTGTTTCAGTCATTTGGGGAGTGAATCAGCAAATGGAGGACCTCTCTTTCTGTGTGCCTCTCCTTTCTCTGTAACTCTGTCTTTCAAATAAATAAAAAATAAATCTTAAAAAAAAAACCTAAATTTTATAATTCTACAGAATTATAAAAGTACAATATCCCTCCACATAGAACAGATGGGAAAGACTCAACTGTCGCTTCATAAAGCACTTATTTAAAAACTTTAATATAACTAGTATGTTACTGAAACTTCAACTTTTTCTGTAATTATAAGCTTTAAAAATAAGACATCTGAATTAGCAAAGCTTCCATTTTTGCAAAATCAGAAAGCAAATCAATTAAGAATTTAGTCATGAGAGAATGACTGATGTCAGACAGGTATTAAACTATGTAGGACCCTCTGCGTAAGAAATCAGCATGCTTTTCAAACACCTTATCTCATTATCTATGAGTATAGCACATTAGTGTACATTCTTCTGAATGTTATATTTTAATTTTTAAATTATACTTTAATTATGAAAAATATAAATCAAAATCAATGAATTTATGGTGTTGATCATTTACTCATTCAAAAAAAAGTTTGAGTGCTGAGTACTGTAACAGGATTTGCAAATTCCAAAACAGGTAAGAAGATACATCAGCAGCTCCTTGGGAAGTGAACTCTTCTTTTTACAACAACTTCTTTTTACAACAATGTGAATGACTCACATTCAAAAGACAGTAAAAATGTTCATTCGAGGGGCAGGTGATTCAGCTGCTACTTGGGACACTCACATCCCATATGACAATGAGGTTTAATTAGCAGGAAACCAACTCCCTGCTAATGCACCTGGGCAGGCGGCAGATGACAGATCAAGTAAGAGTCCCTGCAACCCACGTGAAAGACTCCATCTGAGTCCTGGCTTCTGGTTTCAGTCTGGCCCAGTCCCAGCTGTCACACCAATCTGAGCAGCGGATGGAAGATGTTTTTTAAAGATTTATTTATTTATTTGAAAGTCAGAGTTATACACAGAGAGGAGAGCCAGAGAGAGAGAGGTCTTCCATCCACTGGCTCATTCTCCAGATGGCCACATGCCAGAGCTGCACTGATATGAATCAGGAGCCAGGAGCTTCTTCTGGGTCTCCCATGTGGGTGCAGGGGCCCAAGGACTTGGGCCATCTTCCACTGCTTTCCCAGGCCATAGCAGAGAGCTGGATCGGAAGTGGAGCAGCCGGGACTCGAACTGCTGCCCATATGGGATGCCAGTACTGCAGGCAGCAGCTTTACCTGCTATGCCACAGCACCAGCCCCCGAAGATTTTTCTGTGTCTCTCTCTCTGTCATTCTGTCTTTCAAATAACTAAATAAGTATATCTGATTAAAAACGTTCTTTCTTGGGCCAGTATTGTGGCACAATGTGTAAAACCCACCATCTGCAATGCTGGCATCCCATATGGGCGCTGGTTCAAGTCCTGGCTGCTCCACTTCCAATCCAGCTCCCTGTTAATGTGCTTGGGAAATCAGTGGAAGATGGCCCCAGTATTTGAGCCCCTCTACTTACATGGGAGACCCGAAAGAAGCTCCTGGCTTCTGACTTCGGCCTGGCCCAGCTCCAGCCATTGCAGCCATTTGGGGAGTGAACCAGCAGATATAAGATCTCTCTCTCTCTCTCTCTCTCTCTCTCTCTCTTTCTCTCTCTGTAACTATTCCTTTCCAATAAATAAATAAATCTTTAAAAAAAAAAATACAGGACCAGTGCTGTGCTGTAGCAGGTATAGCCTCTGCCTGTAGTGCCCACATCCCATATGGGCGCCAGTCCGAATCCCAGCTGCTCCACTTCAGATCCAGCTCTCCACTATGGCCTGGGAAAGCAGTAGAAGATGCCTCCAGGTCCTTGGGGCCCTGCACCTGTGTGGGAGACCTGGAAGAAGCTCCTGGCCCCTGGCTTCCAATAGGCTCAGCTCCGGCCATTGCAGCCATTTGAGGAGTAAACCAGAGGATGGAAGATACCTCTCTCTCTCTCTCTCTCTGTCTAACTTCTCTCTGTAATGCTTTCAAATAAATAAAATAAATCTTTTTAAAAAAAAAAGAAGTACAATTTTTAAATAAATAAAAAGAATCATTAGAGAGCTTCCAGTGATCCCAGGCACCAGCTCAGACCCACTGCCTCAGAATCTCTGAGACATCTAAGCATGTGTATTTTTATAAAACCCTCCAAGCAATTTTGAAGCACATTCCTAGGCTAAGAACCACTAAAGTAAATGAACCACTGCACAATGACATAGGGCTTTAAAAAGTGCTACGAACAATAGACTGCAAAGGAGAAACAGTCAACCATGGGGAGTAGTCTCACAGAACTGGTGACATCTGAGCTACACAAGCAGAGTTCTCCACAGAGAAGGCAAGAATGAGGATAAAGCAAATCGCAATTTAAGAACAGAACTGTTAGAATCCAATGAGCTATGGCAATTCTTACTAAACATTAACTCAGAGATTCAACTGATAAAAACCAGGGGTGGCACACTGGCTCTGTTATAAATACCTGAATATCTATCTGTTGCTGCTGCAATTTTTCAAGATGCCTAATGTGCTGCTCCATGAACACATTCATTTGCTTTTCATGATCATGACAATGCAGTAACTCATGTTTATTCTGGATGCTTGTTTGCTGCTCTGTAACACGCTGTAGGTGTTTATCTGTTTCCTGTAACTTATTAAGTAATTCTGTAACAGAGTTGACTTTTGCTTCCAAATCACTCTGCACCTAAAAGAGTAAAAATGCCATAGTAATATTTCACATTATAGAAAGGCACTAAAGGTTAGTCAGTTAGGAGAAAGGTATAACAACTGACATTGAGAAAGGATCCAACAAGAGCTGTTTCCCATTAAATCTGATGCTTTGATGATTTTATTTTTTAAAGTCACAGAAATAAAAGGCAGAAGATAGTTATCCTTAGGTAAGTATTTCCTGTTATGAAAAAAATGACAAATCTGTCAGCAATAGAATACTCAAATGGAAATTTAAAAGAAGGGAACTGCAAAACAAAGTAGCTTTTGATACTTCACTAACATATGGCTGAGATTAGTCTGTAGAACTGAGTTCTAGCTGTGGCTCTACCACCTGTTTGTTCTAGACTCTTGTCCCTACTCAGATCTGTCTATGTTTCCCCGAGTACAAACTGAGAGGCTAGGCACAACTCATCTCCCACCAAATGATGATGGCACATGCAGGCTGCCCAGGACCAAGGGGTTTCCCAAAAAGTGAGATATTCAGTGCTACAAGAAAGAGCCCTGGATTTACTGGCACCCTCAGGGTGAGGAGGCCAATTTTCACAGCCCCCGAGAAGTAATGTACAACCCCAAATAAAAAATTCTTTCACACGGAAAGAAACTGGAATGCTCTGAGTTTATAGTTGGATACAATCATTTACAGATCAGTTCTTATTTTATTTCACAAAGTAGCTGGAAATATCCGGGCAGAAAAATCTACCTTTATCAGTGGAGCTGCTGTCGCAATAGCAGCAGCAGTTGCTGCAGCCACAGTTGTCGCTGAATCAATGCCACTGGGTGAAATTCTAGCCTCCGGAGCTACAGCACCCTTTTCTGTGCCTGCATCCTCTAAAAGATGAACTTTTACTTCCTTAAAAACAGGCATGCTCTGTGCTCTACAAGTAAAAAAGAAATTAAAAAAAAAGAAAACCACATTATTGAAGCTATATAGAACCAACTCAACAAACACCTACAAGTGATAATCTGAAGGTTGTTTTCTTTATTTTTTTTTTTTTTTTAAACAAATAGCCAGGGCCATTGTTGTGGTACAGCAGGTTAATCCACAGCCTGTAACACCAGCACATATAAATGCATTTTCTAATCCAGCTCCCTGTTAATGTGGCTAGGAAGTCAGCAGAACATAGCCGAAGAGTCTGGGGCCCTGCAGCCCACATGGAGGAACCAGATGGAGTTCCAGGCTCCCGGCTTTGGCCTGGCCCAGCCACTGCTGTTGAGTCATTTGGGAAGTAAAGCTTCAAATGGGAAGATCTCTCTCTCTCTCCCTCTCTCTGTCTCTGTAACTCTGCCTTTTAAATAAATAAATAAATCTTTCAAAGCTAAATAAATCAAAACATTACCTATTACACAAACTCATTTGGTCAACAAGACTTATTAAGGCTCAGGGCACTAAAGACTAACAAAATAAGATAATTTCTTGAAGGCAGTGATATTTTCAGAAAACAAGATTTAAACACAATGAAAAAGGAATGGATATAATTATAAAGATACATAGTCAAGATGTATAAATGTGGGACTGGTCTTGTGGTGTAATGGGTAAAGCTGCCATCTAAAACACCGGCATCCTATATGGTCACCAGGTGTAATCCAGCCACTCCATTTCTGATCCAGCACCCTGCTAATGGCCTGGGAAAAGCAGCAGCAGATGGCCCAAGTACGAGGGGTCCTGCCACCCCCGGGGAAGACCCAGATGGCCCAAGTACGAGGGGTCCTGCCACCCACGGGGGAGACCCAGGTGGCCCTCCTGGCTCCAGCCTGGCCCAGCCCTGGATGCTGTGGCTATCTAGGAGTGACTAGTGGATAGAAGATCTATCTTTTCCCTTTCTCTGTAACTGCCTTTCAATCAATCATTCAATCAATCAATAAAATAAAAGAGGTACAAATTTCAAACATGCAGCAAAAGTTCTAAGAATTCAAGTCTCAAGTTTGACTTCCAAGACAGACAACCAAGAGGGATTGCTGTTAAAATCAATGATAACTTTATTCTCCAAATAGCTTTTAAATGAATTATGACATTGGGGCCGGCACTGTGGCACAGTGGGTTAAGCCACAGCCTGCAGCACCATCATCCCATGTGGGTGCTGGTTCAAGTCCCAGCAGCACACTTATGATCCACCTCCTTGCCAATGCGCCTGGAAAAGCAGTGGAAGATGGCCCAAGTCCTTGGGCCCCTGCACTCACATAGAAGACCCAGAAAAAACTCCTGGGTTCAGCCTGGCCCAGCCCCATCATTACGGCCATTTGGCGAGTGAACCAGTGGATGGAAGACATCTCTATCTCTCCCCTTCTCTCTCTGTAACTCCGCTTCTCAAATAAATATATTTAAAAAAATTAGTCTAGGGCTGGCATTGTGGCACATCAGTTTAAACTGCTGCTTATAGTGCTGGCATCCCTTATAGGTGCTAATCTGAGTCCTGGCTGCTCCACTTGGGATCAAGCTACCTACTAATGTGCCTGGGAAAGTAGTGGAAGATGGCCCAAGTCCTTGGGCCCCTGCTGCCATGTGGGAGACCTGGCGAGAGTTCTAGGCTACTGGCTTCAGCCGGCCATTACAGCCATTTGGGGAGTAAACCAGGGGACGGAAGATCTCTTTTATGTCTCTCCCTCATATCTGTAACTCTGCCTTTCAAATAAATAAATAAATCATTTTTAAAAAATAAGTCTAGTAAATACATACAAGTATTTGCAATAAGAATTGAACTAAATAGCAGAAAAGAGGCCAGCGTCATAGTGTAGTGGGTAAAGCCACCGCCTGCAGTGCCGGCATCCTATATAAGCGCTGGTTCAAGTCCCGGCTGCTCCTCTTCCAATCTGGCTCTCTGCTGTGGCCTAGGAAAGTAGTGGAATATGGCCCAAGTCCTCAGGCCCCTGCAACCGCATGTGAGACCCAGAGGAAGCTCCTGTATCCTGGCTTCGGATTGGCACGCAGCTCCAGCCACTGGAGCCAACTGGGGAGTGAACCAGCCGATGGAAGACCTCTCTCTCTGCTTCTCTTTCTCTCTTTGTGTTACCCTGACTTTAAAATAAATAAATCTCTAAAATAAACAAATAGCAGAAAAGAAAAAAAGGCTGACCAATATTACTCTGTATCTGGCCTCAAAGAAAACCATGAACGGAATCCCTGACAAAAATGCAGAGTCAAAACCAGGTAAGTGTAACCCACATCGGGAGAACACATTCACTCCACCTTTAGTTGCTGGATTGTTCCCTGCCCCAACCCTCCGTCCTTTGATTCTTAAACATGGCACAAACTCTTAAAACTCACTCCTCCCTGATGCTCCTCCATTTCTACTAAGACTCATTTTCTGCTCATTCTCAAAATTTCGAAGCACCCTGACTTTTCTTTCAGCTTACCTGCGCATACTCAATTGAGTCACCAGTGTTGTCAATTATTTCATCACAATTGCATGAAGAATGCCATAGAATTATAGAGGTGAAGGAACCTTTGAGGTCATCTATCCTAATTTTCCAATTTTACAGAAGAAACCTGGCTCCTCGCTTTGGATCAGAGCAGCTCCAGCCATTGTGGCCATCTGGGGAATGAACTAGCAGATAGAAGACCCCTTTCTCTCTCTACATCTGCCTCCCTGTAAATCTGCCTTTCAAATAAACATATAAATCTTTTTTTAAAAAATCAAGTAGGGGCCGGCACCATGGTTAATCCTCCACTGGCAGCACCAACATCCCATATGGACGCCAGATTCTGTCCTGGTTGGTCCTCTTCCAGTCCAGCTCTCTGCTGTGGCCCGGGAGGGCAGTGGAGGATGGCCCAAGAGCTTGGGCCCCTGCACCTGCATGGGAGACTGGAAAGAAGCACCTGGCTCCTGGCTTCAGATCGGTGCAGCACTGGCCATGGCGGCCATTTTGGGGAGTGAACCAATGGAAGGAAGACCTTTCTCTCTGTCTCTCTCTCACTGTCTATAACTCTATCTGACAAAAATAAAAAATAAAAAATAGAGAAAGTATTTCATGATTATTTATTTTTGATTTTTCAAGAATCACCTATTCTCAAATGTATTTGAGGTATTTGAATTCTTAACTCTACATATGTATAAATGAGCTACTTCAAAAAATGTGTGCAAAAGAGAATTAAAAGGTAAGTTTAGGGCCAGCGCCATGGCTCACTTGGTTAATCCTCCACCTGTGGCACCAGCATCCCATATGGGCGCCGGGTTCTAGTCCCAGTTGCTCCTCTTCCAGTCCAGCTCTCTGCTGTGGCCCGGGAGGGCAGTGGAGGATGGCCCAGTGCTTGGGCCCTGCACCCGCATGGGAGACCAGGAAGAAGCACCTGGCTCCAGGCTTCAGATTGGTGTAGCTACGGGCATAGCAGCTACTTGGGGGGTGAACCAATGGAAGAAAGACCTTTCTCTCTCTCTCTCTCTCTCTCTAACTCTGTCAAATTAAAAAAAAAAAAAGATAAGTTTATCTTGATGTAAAATGCTTTGAAATCTATATACAAGAAAGGTCTTTAAAAATTTATGGAGGGCCAGCACCTAGAATAGCAGGTTAAGCCACTGCTGGCAGTGACAGCATCCCATATGGGTGCTGATTCAAGTCCTAGCTGCTCCACTTCCAATTCAGCTCCTTGCTGACTGGGAAAGCAGCAGAAGATGGCCCAAGTACTTGGGCCCCTGCTAGCCACATAGGAGACTTGGAAGAATCTCCTGGCTTCAGTCTGGCCCAGCTCTGGCCATTGTGACCATTTGGGGAGTGAACCAGTAGATGGTACATCTTTCTCTCTCTGCCTCTGTCTCTCCCTCACTGTAACTATGTGTTTCAAATAAATAAAATAAATCTTTAAAATATAAAAAAAATCATGGTAATGCATAATATGAAAAAACAATACACATATTCCAAAAACCTATACAAAGATAGAGCAACATTATTCAACCATAAAAAAGAATGAAATTTTGTAATTTGCAGTATGATAGAATGGAAGGACACTATGTTAAGTAAAGTAAGTCAGGCACAGAAGGACAAATATCATATGCTCTCATTATGTAAGAAGCTAAAAAGTTGATCTCAAAAGTACTCATTCAGGGCCGGCGTCCTGCAATAATCAGTTAAGCTGCCGCCGGCATCCCATGTGGGCCCTGGTTCCAGTGCCAGCTGCCCCACTTCCAATTCAGCTCCCTGCTAATGCACCTGAGAATGCAGTAGAGGATGGTCCAAGTGTTTGGGCCCCTGCACCTGCATGGAAAACCCAGAAGAAGCTCTTGGCTCCTGGCTTTGGCCTGGCCCAGCCTTAGCCGTTGCAGCCATGTGGGGACTGAAAGAGTTGATGGAAGATTTCTCTCTAACTATGCCTTTCAAATAAATAAAATAAATGTTTTAAAATTAAAAAATTTTAAAAAATACTCATTCATCCTTGACTGATGAGAGATGTACTGTCAACTGGTAAGAGGTGTAGAGTTGAAGATTACCTCTCAGGGTCCACTTGGTTACTAACACATTCTCCCTCTCGACTCTCAGAGATTTCAGTTGGCAGAGTTCAGTAATTCATTAATTAATCTGAAAGGCATAGTGTCAGAGAAAGGACAGAGAGAGAGAGAAGTCTTCTACCTGCTGGTTAATTCCTCAAATGGCTGCCACAGCTGGGGCTGGACCAGGACAAAACCAGGAACCAGGAACTCCATCCTGGTCTCTCACATGGGTGGCAAGGACCCAAGCACTTGGGTCATATCTGCTGCTTTCCCAGGAGCATTAGCAGGAAACTGGATTGGATTTGGAAGGGCCAGGACTCAAACTGGAACTCCAACATGGGATGCTGAAGTTGTAGGCTGCTACAATGTGCTACAATGCCAATCCCTGGCAAGTTCTGAAATGAACAGAGCTTGGGAAGGGTGTGTGGGAGAGGAGATGGAGAGAGGGCGCTTAAGGGCATTGGGGTGTGGTTGACTAGGAGACTGTAGAATATTCTATAGCATAGTAGGATAATGACAACTGATAACATTTAACTGAATATTTAAAAAAAAAATTCCTCATCACAAAGAAATGACAAATGTCTGAAGTGATAGATGCACTAATTGTACTGATCTGATCATTACACACTGTTCAATGTATTGCAATGCCACATTGCACCCCATTAGCTGAGTTGACAAAAATATTTCAAAATAGTACCATATGTATATTACTTTGAGTTATGAAATTCTCTCTCAGAGGAAAGAGTTAAAGAATTAAAACTGGTTGAGGACCAGGTTGGTCCAGGAAGTAGTACATATGCTAGTGGTTTTCAATACAAGCTTTTAATACTCTTTGGTTTGTGTGTTTGTGTGTGTGTGTGTGGTTTGGTTTTTGTTTTGTTTTTTTGGCCAGGCAGAGTTAGACAGTAAGAGAGAGAGACAGAGAGAAAGGTCTTCCTTCCGTTGGTTCACTCCCCAAATGGCCACTACGGACAGCGCTACGCCTATCCGAAGCCAGGAGCCAGGTGCTTCCTCCTGGTCTCCCATGTGGGTGCAGGGCCCAAGCACTGGGCCATCCTCCACTGCCCTCCCGGGCCACAGCAGAGAGCTGGCCTGGAAGAGGGGCAACCAGGACTAGGACCCGGCGCCCCAACTGGGACTAGAACCCAGGGTGCTAGCACCACAGGCGGAGGACTAGTCAAGTGAGCCACGGCGCCAGCCTACTGTTTGTTTTTTTAAGATCATGTACCTCTTTATTAAATATTTAAAAACTAAAAAAAAGTGTACATACCCTACACCTCTTAAAAAAAAACCTATTTAACACATATACCTTTAATTTTACTTCAATTATATTAATATTGATACTCCTATTTCTTTTTATTTGCTTTCTCCTCAAAATACCACTGTTGTAGTTTTATTTTCAGCCTGTTTCATTTTAATGGTTTATCTCTCAAGACACAGACTACCTCTTGACTTGAGTCATTTTTATATTTCTGATTCAGTTACTACTCTCTACATTGCAATTATTTCTCATAGGTCGTTCATGCTTTTTTGAAAAATTCTGTCCATTCATCCTTTTTGAAAATTTTTATTTGGAGCTGGCGTTGCAGTTAAACCATTGCGTGCCACCCCAGCATCCTATACAGGTGACAGTTCAAGTCCCAGCTGCGCCACTTCTGATCCAGTTCCCCCCTCATGTGCCTGGGAAAACAGTCGAAGATGGCCCAAGTTCTTGGGCCCCTGCACCCACAGGGAGACCTGAATGGAGTTCCAGGCTCCTGGCTTCAGACTGGCACCAGCCCTGGCCGTTGCAGCCATTTGGTGTGTGAACCAGCAAATGGAAGATATTTCTTTTTCTCTGTCTCTGCTTCTCCCTCTCTAACTCTTTCAAACAAATTTTTTTTAATCCTTAGATAAATATAAAAAAAAATTTAAAGATTTATTTATTTATTTGAAAGGCAGAGTTACAGAGAGGGAAAGGCAGAGAGAGAGGTCTTCTATCTGTTGGTTCACTCCCAGGAGGGCTGCGCCAATCCAGAGCCAGAAGCCAGGAGCTTCCTCTGGGTCTCCCACATGGGTGCAGTGGCCCAAAGACTTGGGCCATCTTCTACTGCCTTCCCAGGCCATAGCAGAGAGTTGGATCAGAAGTGGAACTGCCAGAACTCAAACCAGCGCCCATATGGGATGCGGGCACCACAGGCGGCAGGTCTACTTGCTATGCCACAGCACCGGGCCCAAAATTTTTATTTTATTTATTTGAGCAAGATAACAGAGACAGACAGGCAGATATACCAAGAGAGAGTTCCTATTTACTGGTTCACTCCCTAAATGCACAGAACAGCTGGGGCAGGGTCGGGCTGAAGCCAGGAGAAAAGAACTCATTCCCAGTATCCTATGTGGGTAGAAGAAACCCAATTACTCAGCGCAGGCAGAAAGCTGTAACTAGGAGCACAGTCAGGACTTCAACCCAGGCTCTCTGATACTGGATGTGGGCATCCCAAAACATGTCTCAACCATTACACCAAAGTCTGCTCCTATTCATCACTCCTTAATCAAGGAAAGATCCATTGTCAACAGATACCGGGGAGTGGGGGAGGCTCTCAATGACCTCTCTGCGGCCACTTATTTAATAATAATTTCTCCCTCGACTCTGACAAATCTGAGAGGTTTGTTAGGAGAGTTCTGACGTGAAGGCAAGTTGCTGAAGTCCCTGGTGTGGTCATAAGCAGCCACATCACCCGCCAGCGGTCAGATGGATGGAGGTGATGATCACTTCCTGCCCGCCTGAGTCGGTCATCTGCAACTCATAGCTCAGGTAGAGAGCGGGACAGACGACACCACTCCTCATACCCACACTCTTGCTCCTGTCATACATTTACACACCTAGGATAAAATCTGCCATACAGTTGTCTCCCAATTACAGCGTATATTAGGAATTACACACTGAACAAATATAAAAGGGAAAATCCTGACAGGTCGAAGAACCAGCTAGGAACTTCTAGCTGGTTCACATGACAGTTTTGTGGTTTAGTAGTGTTTACTTTTCCTATTCCAGTCCTTCCCAGAGTATAATAAGTATGTCATCGATTACTACAGGTGAAAAAGAATAAGCATTCTATGTTAACAGCTTTATGTTTATTTTAATTGTGTTATAAAAATCACTGATCTTTTGCCTATAGAATGTACAATTAGAATTCAAAAGCAAAACCTTTGAATAAAATGAGACTCTATGGCATTTGTGTTAAATGGAGAATCAAACAAGAATTCAAAGGCAAGTAAAATTGTTTCCTACTTTCTAAGGTATTTTCGATACGGCAGAACTGTCGATATCCTTTGAAAGTCAATAATATGGCCGGTGCTGCAGCTCACTTGGCTAATCCTCTGCCTGCGGCGCCGGTACCCCGGGTTCTATTCCTGGTTGGGACGCCGGTTCTGTCTCGGTTGCTCCTCTTCCAGTCCAGCTCTCTGCTGTGGCCCGGGAAGGCAGTGGAGGATGGCCCAAGTGCTTGGGCCCTGCACCCCATGGGAGACCAGGAGGAAGCACCTGGCTCTTGGCTTCAGATTGGTGCAGCGCGCCAGCCATAGCAGCCATTTTGGGAATAAACCAATGGAAAGAAGATCTTTCTCTCTGTTCCTCTCTCTCACTGTCTAACTCTGCTTGTCAAAAAAAAAAAAAAATAAAGTCAATAATACATAATAATACATATTATGTCTAAGGTACTACTTGACCACTGATACAAGCAGTATAGCCAAGTTGTAAGAGAGTGGGCCCAAAGGCAAAATGCCTGGGTTTGAATGCCAGCCCAGGAACACCTTGCTAAATGACCCACAGAAAGCCTATTTTCTCACTTATTAAATGGAGGTTTTGTGAAATCAGGATGGCAATGGAATCTGTTTCACAGGGTTTGATGAGTATTAACAAGTCAATGTACTACAGTGCTTAGAACAGTACCTCCTCTATACTAATGATTTCTAACACACATTGAGGATATCATGGCTACCCAGAAAAGCATGAGAAAAATTTCATATATATCATCACATAATACTATTTCATATGGGGAAAAGAAAGCTTATCCTATGTCCAAAGTACAAATGAAGCATATTTTACCCAAGACGTCTTCCAGCCATTTTCTGTAAGTGAAACTTACTTTTGCTTTAAAACTGTTCTTAGAGCATCTTTTTGTCCCGTGGCAAACTGAGAAATACAGATGTCATTTGCTGCAAAATCAAGACATGAAAATATACTTCAGATTCCTGGAAATTCTGTAATTTTAATTGTTTACTCAAAAAAAACCTTTCTAAGCCGGCGCCGTGGCTCAATAGGCTAATCCTCCACCTTGCGGCGCCGGCACACCGGGTTCTAGTCCCGGTTGGGGCGCCGGATTCTGTCCCGGTTGCCCCTCTTCCAGGCCAGCTCTCTGCTATGGCCAGGGAGTGCAGTGGAGGATGGCCCAGGTGCTTGGGCCCTGCACCCCATGGGAGACCAGGAAAAAGCACCTGGCTCCTGGCTCCTGCCAGGATCAGCGCGGTGCGCCGGCTGCAGCGGCGGCCATTGGAGGGTGAACCAACGGCAAAGGAAGACCTTTCTCTCTCTGTCTCTCTCTCTCACTGTCCACTCTGCCTGTCAAAAAAAAGAAAAAAAGAAGAAGATAAAAAAGGAGGGCTCTCTTCAGCCTCTCCTCTTTCTGTAACTCTGACTTTCAAATAAATAAATCTTTAAAAAAAAAAAAAAAAAAAAAACCTTTCTAAACTGAAAGAAATTTTAGGGATTCAACAATAGGATTTCTCAACAACAAAAAAGCAAGGAACAAATTAAGAGACTCACTAATAATATAACGGTTATAACCATAAACTCTACATAAAAATTGTGAAAAATCGGAGACCAAACTGGAAACATTTGCTCAAACCCTAAAAATTGCTTCATATAAACCAAAACAAACTACTTCACACATTGTCATTAAATAATAAAACTTTTCAAGGGGCCAGCACTATGGCGCAGCAGGTTAATGCCCTGGCCTGAAGCATCGGCATCCCATTATGGGTGCTGGTTCGAGTCTCAGCTGTTCCTATTCTGATCCAGCTCTCTGCTGTGGCCTGGGATAGCAGTAGAGGATGGCCCAAGTCCTTGGGCCCCTGCACCTGCGTGGGAGACCCAGAAGAAGCTCCTGACTCCTGGCTTTGGATCAGCGCAGCTCCGGCCGTTTCAGCCATCTGTGGAGTGAACCAGCAGATGTAAGACCTCTCTCTCTCTCTCTGTAACTCTTTCAGATAAAAATAAATAGATCTTTAAAAAAATTTTAAAAATAAAACTTTTCAGAAGACATGTTTAATCTGTTGCCTTTCCAAAGACTATTCAAAACTTGAATTCATAACTTATAAACAGATTAGTAAGTTAGTAATAATGAAAGAAACTTTCGGATGGTATTATTAAGTTTAATTTGGGAGGAAAAATTAAAAATGGAAATAATAAATAAAAATGACAAAGTTCTGGAAATGGCGATGATGGCTGCATAACAAAGTGAATGCAATTAATAGCAAAGACCTTTACATTCAAAAATGGTAAATTTTATGTAATGTATATTTCATCACAATTTAAAAAAATTCTATTCTTTTACCTTTTTGTCTGTTGCTCTCTTCTGTGTTATCCAAAGGCAACCCTTGCACTGCAACATCTTTAGAAAAATCCTTTGGGATATGAAAGGAGAAGGTGAGGAGCTAAATCAGCTTTGTGATTTATTATGTATCACTAGCTATGTGACAACTATAGTCTGGGAAGGCAGGATTGTGGGTTTTTTTGAGAATTTTATTTATTTGAAAGCCAGAGTTACAGCAAGAGGAGAGACAGAGAGAGAAGAGGGAGATCTTCCATCCGCTGGCTCACTCCATAAATGGCCATAATGACCAGGGCTGGGCCAGGCCAAAGCCAAGAACCAGGAGATTCTCACGCAGGTGCAGGGGCCCAAGCACTTGGGCCATCCTCCGCTGCTTTCCCAGGCATGTTAGCAGAGGGCTGGATTGGAAGTGGAGCAGCCGAGACTCAAACCAGAGCCCATACAGGATGCCAGTGCTGCAGACAGTGGCTTAACCTGCTGCCCCACAGTGTTGGCCCCAGGACTATGCGTTTTATAACTTCATTTCAAGCACTGCCCCATGCTTAGGTACCCTGGAGATTTATTGACTGAGTGAGTAATGTGATGGAGTGTAATTAGATGAATTAGTAAATGTACAAACAAGCCAATGCAGCACTGAGATACAGACTTAAACCCTGATTTGGCACTTCTGGCAAAGCAAGTAACTTGGCATCTCAGTTAAGCATGAAAACCTGACTGCTGTGAACTGAATGGAATAGACAGGGATACTCACACACGGGACGTCACAGATCAGTCACAGCAATGTGTCACTGAGCTCTGTGTAGTCACAGAGGGCTCCCTTACATAGGTGACACCTACTGGCAAACAGCTTTCTGCTTACATGTGCGATCCTGGACTTCGCCTCTCAGGGTCTACTCAGTGACAACACCAGGACTTCTAATGTTGCTCTTCACCTTTCATTTTCCAGTACATCAGAAAAGGGAACAGAAAAACATCATAAAAGATAACCAATCAAGGCTATCTCCTGACGACAGGTGTTGATTGCTAAAAAAAAGCCAAATTCACAATACCATACAATGTTTCCTACAAACTATTATGACAATGACGTAATTCTCTTTCATCTTTCATGAATCCAATATATATTTCACAAAAAAATAAATATGGGGCAGGTGTCTGGCACAGTAGTTAAAACACTGCTTGGGATGCCTGTTTCCCATATCAAAGTCCCTGGGTTCAAGTCCTGGCTCTGCTTCCCATCCAGTTTCCTGCCAGTGTACACCATGGGAGGAAGCAGACCTCAAATGACTGGGTTCTTGTCACTCATGTTAGAGATCCAGAAAGTTACAGGCTCCTAGCTTATGCCTGGTCCAACCCCGGCTGTTGTGTGCATTGAGGAGTGAACAGGTGCATGGAAGAGCTCTTTCTCTACCTTTCAAAGAAAAAAATTTATTTAAAAATGAATACGGGGGCTGGCGCTGTGGCACCGTGGGTTAACGCCCTGGCCTGAGGCAATGCCATCCCATATGGACTCCTGTTCAAGACCCAGCTGCTCCACTTCCGATCCAGCTCTCTGTTGTGGCCTGGGAAAGCAGCTGAAGATGGCCCAAGTCCTTGGGCCCCTGCACCTACATGGGAGACCTGGAAGAAGCTCCTGGCTCCTGGCTTCGGATGGGCGCAGCTCTGGCCATTGCAGTCAATTGGGGAGTGAACCAGTGGATGGAGACCTCTCTCTGCCTCTCCTCTCTCTGTGTAACTCTTTCAAATAAATAAACCTTTAAAAAATGAATACAAATGGCCATCTACATAAAAAAAACTTCCCTTACTACTAATAAACACAATAAAATGTCTATTTTATAATCTATCCAAATGAGCTTACTGGTAAAGATGGAAAAAAATGCATTCCACTCATGACCTTACTGGAGAGAGTATAATGACAGTCTTTCAAGAGGCCATGTAGAAACATTTCAAAAACTGTGTATACCTTCTGATCTATGACTTCATATCTAGAAATTAATCCTAAAGGAATAGTCTGAGATATGTGCCAGGATGTTCACAATGTGTATGCTTAAATTACCAAAAATGGTAGGGAAAAAGTCCTTCATGCATATGAAGAAATAAACTATGATAATCATATACACTGAAATCCTTTGACCCCATTAAAAACTTTTAGGAAAAAAATTGACGACATGGAAAGATCCTTAATATCATCTAGCCATAAAACAGTATGGTACTGTTGAATGAAACATACAAATGTACCAAAAAAACTTAGTGTTAAGAGTTATTGTTTTTAATTGTGGAATTTTTTTTCTTAAAAAAAAGAAAAAAATTCAAAGATTTATTTATTTGAAAGGCAGAGTTACACAGCAAAAGAAGAAGAGGCAGAGAGAGAGAATCTTCCATCTGCTGGTTCACTCCCCAATTGGTTGCAACGGCTGGAGCTGCGCCGATCCGAAGCCAGCAGCCAGGAGCTTCTTCCAGGTCTTCTGTGTAGGTGCAGGGGCCCAAGCACTTGGGCCATCTTCTACTACTTTCCCAGGCCATAACAAAGAATCGAATCAGAAGCGGAGTAGTCAGGACTCGAACGGCTGCCCATATGGGATGCAGGTGCTTCAGGCAGCAGCTTTACCCACCACACCCACAGCGCCAGCCCCTCTTTGTATTTTCTTAAAATAGTTTCTTTAAACGCTTTGTTCTAGCTCACATAGGAGAAGCCATATCTCCTCTTTGGTAGTAAGGAGAAATGGGTACGAATAAGAGCAAATATAAATGAATTTATAGGCCAGCGCCGCGGCTCAAAAGGCTAATCCTCCACCTTGCGGTGCCGGCACACCGGGTTCTAGTCCCGGTCGGGGTGCCGGATTCTGTCCTGGTTGCCCCTCTTCCAGGCCAGCTCTCTGCTGTGGCCAGGGAGTGCAGTGGAGGATGGCCCAAGTGCTTGGGCCCTGCACCCTCATGGGAGACCAGGAGGAAGCACCTGGCTCCTGGCTTCGGATCAGCGTGATACACCGGCCGCAGCGGCCATTGGAGGGTGAACCAATGGAAAAAGGAAGACCTCGCTCTCTGTCTCTCTCACTGTCCACTCTGCCTGTCAAAAAAATAAAGTCTTAAAAAAATTTTAAAAAATGAATTTATAAATAAATGAGCATATCAGGCACAATTTCTGCAGCTTCTTCATTAAAATAACACGGTCCACTCAGCAGGTACTGTAACCTCATGTAATAAAACCCGGACGCAACAAGATGGGCAAGCTGTCCAACAGTTAGGCTGCCCATGTTCCAAGCCGGTGTGTCTGGGTTTCAGTTCAGACTCCTGACTCCAGCTTCCAGCCAGTGAAGACCCTGGGAGGCAGCAGCAATGGCTCAACCAGTGGGGTTCCTGTCATCCAAGCCGGAGACCTGGATGGCTCCTAGCCCAACCCAGTCCCAGCTGTGGCAAGCACTTGAGGAGTGAACCAGCAGATGGGACTGCACCCTCTCCTGTTCACTCCATTTTTTAAATAAGTTTTAAAAAAATTCTAACTGCACTTTGCATTCTTAGTAAAATGAAACTCCTGCTGTTGCAGCCACTTGGCAAGTGAGCCAGCAGATGGAAGACCTCACTCTGTCTCTCCGTCTCTCTCTATATATATAACTCTGCCTCTCAAATAAATAAATAAATCTTTAAAAAAAAATGAAGAAAGAGAAACCGCCAGCCTGAGAGGTAGGCATTTACTCAACACAACAATACCCCATAATTGTAATTTTATTGTGACCTTTTGACAAAATTGCTGAGTAAAAATAAAAAGTTTCATTTTAATTCTTAGTTTACTGGATTCAAAATATCATGTTGTGAAACTCTTGTTATAGACTTGTACATCAGCAATACAAAGGTCAACATTATGATTAGTGGTCAGTCTGATTAGATCTCATTAACAAAACATTTATTGTCAAATATTTTCAGCATTCTAATAAAAAGGTTGAAAAGTTCAGATAAAGAACCTCCTCTCAAAAAAAAAAAAAAAAAAAAAGACGACTTCACAACAGTTTGAATGGTATGTAAGTTGAACCTGTGTATATGTGGCTGGGGGGGGGGGCATGTATGTGTGTGGTTAGTTTCTTCCCCTCTCTTTTTCTCTGGTCAACAAAACCTTTTCTCGAAATAGTAGCAGAGTTTCTTCTCAGTTACAGTATTTCTCTCAGTGCTCATTATCTTACCAATGGGTATTTTCCATTCTAGGGAAGGTTTTTTTGTTTAACATCTCAAATACTAATCAAGTCACAATTGTACATGAAACACTTCTGGTAAGTATTCTCTCAGGGCAGCATTGTGGTGTACAGCAGGTAAAGCCACTGCCTGCCACGCTGTGATCCCATATGGGTGCCAGTCGTGTCCCGGCTGCTCCACGTTCAGTCCCGCTCCTTGCTCAGGCACTTGGGAAAGCAGCAGAAGAGGGCCCAAGTGCCCGGGCCCTTGCTACCCACATGGGAGACCTGGAGGAGGCTCCTGGCTTCAGCCTGGCTCACCCCGGCACTGCAGCTATCTGGGGAGTGAAGATTTCTCTTTGTTTCTCCCTCTTTCTGTAACTCTTTCAAATAATTTTTATTTTATTTTATTTTTTTGACAGGCAGAGTGGACAGTGAGAGAGAGAGACAGAGAGAAAGGTCTTCCTTTTTCCATTGGTTCACCCTCCAATGGCTGCTGCGGCTGGCGCACCGCGCTGATCCGAAGCCAGGAGCCAGGTGCTTCTCCTGGTCTCCCATGGGGTGCAGGGCCCAAGCACCTGGGCCATCCTCCACTGCACTCCCTGGCCACAGCAGAGAGCTGGCCTGGAAGAGGGGCAACTGGGACAGAATCCGGCACCCCGACCGGGACTAGAACCCGGTGTGCCGGCGCCACAAGGTGGAGGATTAGCCTCGTGAGCCGCGGCGCTGGCCCAAATAAATATTTTTTTTAAGATTTATTTCTCTAGTTGAAAGAGTTACACAGAAAGGGAAGGAGAGGCAGAGAGAGAGAGAGACAGATCTTCCATCCGCTGGTTTGCTCCCCAATTGGCTGCAAGGCCAAAGCTGCGCCGATAGGAAGCCAGGAGCCAGGAGCTTTTTCCAGGTCTCCCACACGGGTGCAGGGTTCCAAGGACTGGGGCCATCTTCCACTGCTTTCCCAGGACAGAGAGCTGGATCAGCAGTGGAGCAGTTGGGGCTTGAACGGGTGCCCATATGGGATGCCGGCACTGCAGGTCGTGGCTTTCCCCGCTATGCCACAGGGCTGGCCCCAATAAATAAATCTAAAAAAAAAAAAAAAAAAAAAGCACAGTGTAAATCAAACGTAACTGAGGGACACGTTGTTTGATGACAGGGGACATTTTAACATGAACATAATCAAGAATCCTTACGCTTACACTTTCTGACACAGTGGGATTTGCTAATGGAGGCTGGTGAGAATTTCCAGCAGCGGTTAAGTCTGATGAACCTGAGGACAAAAAGTTATCCATTTTAGTGAATTTTAATCAGAACCTTATCTTTAGATAAGTGGTAGGCGAGATTCAAGAACTAGAAACTGGATATTAACACGAGACACTTCACATGCAAAAAATGTATTTAAATAATGGTTTGTATAATTGACAAGTGGGAAAATAGGTAGGTATTGACAACCTACTGAGATAAGAAGTATAAATGCTTTAAAATACATTAGGACACTGCTGGGTGTGGATAAAGGGCGGATGGAATCGTCTGCCAGGAATAAAATATGTATGTGATGTAAAAAATCTGACTTGACAGCAGGCCTGTTATAGTATTACTGCTGTGGTTAAAAAGAAAAAACACCATTTTAAAGGCCTCATTAATCCGACCCTTAAAATTATCAGCAGAGCAGATGACGCTTATACATAAACCATCTCCAACCAACTTCACCGAGTTCCAGGACCGGAATACGGAAGCCGCGCGCTCCGCACCACGCCAAGCAGAGGCAAAGCGTTCAGCAAAACGCGCGTTCCACAGGCAGGTGCACCTCGGATGCAAAACCGGACAGAGAGACAGCGGCGAGGGCACGCGCAGGGCTCCGTGCACGCCGGCGCGGGGATGCACACGGTGCTGCGACCTGAGACGCCCGGGGACCGAGCGCGGCGGCACGTACCGGCTGGCGCCTCCTGCCTGGGCAGCGCCCGGCCTCCTCCCCGCAGGCTCCGGGCCGGCATCGTCTCCTCTCCGGGCTGAGCTCAAGCCCTCCTGCCGCCGGCGGTCAGCGGGGGCAGCGCTTCCTTCCCCGGAGGCCTGAGCACACCGCGCGCACTCCCCCAGGCCCGCCGGGGTTTCTCAAGTGTCTGAGGAACTCGCGTAGCAGCCTCCAAAGGACGAACGTCTGCGGACAGTGCCCTGCTCGCCGGCAGCGGCGACGCGGGCGTCCAGGACCCAGAACGACGCGAGCGCCAACGGGCGGCTCAAGCGGACGAAGCCGAAGCGCTGCTTCTTCCAGGTCGCCCCCACACCGAGCTTCGCCGCCGGGCCTCACACACCCCGTCCCGAGGCGGCCAGGGACGCCCACCCTCTCCGCGCCGCGTCCCCAGCGCGCCGACTCGCGCTTGACAACAGCTTCAGCGGCCCGCGGGCCCCCGCCCACTTCCCTTTAAGCCCGCCCTAGAGCCGCAACACGCATGCGCGCCGGAGGACCGTTCCAAAAACATCCAACCAGAAAGCCGAACGCTCTCCGGTGCGCTTCCTCCGCTCTCCGGGTAGAAACAAACTCCCGACGTGAAAGGTTCAAAAGGGCGGCGAATTTTTTTCTGTTTTCTTTTTTTCTTACAGTAGCACATTGTCCCACAGTTCTTAAAACAGTCGATAAGCCCGAGGGACTCATCAAAGGCCTGAAGAGTCTCCGCCCTAACTGGCAGTACTACTCGCATTTACTAGGGACTGTTTACAGTGTGGCTCCTGAGACCGTTAGGGCCTGGGCTTGAGTAAATCAGGCGCTCAAAGAGTTTCGACAGATTCGGGTCGTTATCACAGAAGAATTCAGGGATACATAGAGTTGCGTCAACAGACAATCTCTAAATTAATATTTACGGATTTTTAGACTTCGCCGATGGTACTGGCTTTTTTCTTTGGCTTTCTCTTGTTACCACGAATCGGCGTCTAAGCGTGTAAGAACTGTTTGGCATCCCCGCTCCCACGTGTTCTCTGCTGTCCAGCGGCCGCGGCGCCCGCCCTGACCCCGACCCTCAGCCCCCAGACTCGGTCGGCAGCGCAGTCCCCCATCCTCGTGCTGGTGCCAGCTGCGAGAGTTCGTGCTTAAGTATGGTCTCCTTTCTCTGCCCTGAGAATCCTGGGCGGCGGGCAGCGAGATGGCGGGGGTCTGCCGGGGCGGGCGGAGGGGTGGCGGGGGTCTCCCGCGGCGGGGGTCTCTCGGGGCGGGCGGCGGGGAGGCGGGGGTCTCCCGAGTACGTGGGGTTGAGCTGGGCTGCGAAGGCGGGCGGCGGGGTGGCGGGGGTCTCCCGCGGCGGGGGTCGCCCGGGGCGGGCGGCGGGGAGGCGGGGGTCTCCCGAGTACGTGGGGTTGAGCTGGACTGCGAAGGCGGCGGGGAGGCGGGGGTCTCCCGAGTACGTGGGGTTGAGCTGGGCTGCGAAGGCGGGCGGTGCGACCCCCGGGGCGGGGTCGGACCCGACCGGGACCCCGTCCCTGCGACCAGGGGAGGAACCGAGGCCCGGGGCCCCCTCCGCCCGCGGGTTCGGGGCGTCCGGATGTGGTCGTGGGACAGAACAGATTAGACCCGCGTATCCACGCTGTGACCTTGGGCCGGCAGGCAGGGGACCCGCCTCGGAATACCGAGGTAACACCCCGCCCCCGCTCTCCCGTTCGGGCCGCGTAGACCCTTCCCTTTAGAGTAATACAGGTGAATCCAAACAAAAACAAAAATAATGTTAACAGGGACCTTAAGGGCCCAACCTTGAAGACTTCTAATTTTTTGTATCTTGATTTTTCTCACATTTTTTAAATTTCAGCAACTTTTTCTCCATGTAACAATGGAGACTCAGATTGTGTAAGCTTTTTATATGAGTGTTTATTTTTTAAAGGCTTATTTTATTTGAGAGTTATAGAGAGAGAGGTCCTCCATCCGCCGGTTCACGCCTCAGGTGGCCACAACGGCTGGTGCTGCGCCGATCCGGAGCCAGGAGCTTCTTCTGGGTCTCCCACGTGGATGCGGGGGCCCAAGGACTTGGGCCATCTTCTGCTCTCCCAGGTGCACCAACAGGGAGCTGGATAGGAACCGGAGCCCATAGAGGATGCGGGCACTGCAGGCCGGGGCTTTAACCACTGTGCCACAGCGCTGGCCCTATATGAATATTTAAATATGACGACAGTGTCACAGCTGCAGGAAACCTTAGAGGTGAAACAAATGTGGCAGGAACGGTGACCTTCCCCCTCTGGTATCCGACGTCCGAGTATAGGTACTCGTTGAACCGACTTGGATACATCGTTTGGATCTCACACGAGTGTTGAGTGTTGTCAGACTCAAGTCGAGTCGTGGAGCTCCTGGCCCAGTGCTCCTGGGCCCAGCCCTTCAGCCGGAAAGCAGCTGGCTGTAGTCTTTCCAGAGTACCTTTTGCTCTGGCCAACAAGAAGGTGAGTCAGGGCTGTCATGACTCCTACACCTGCTGCAGATGAGGTACGGCGAAGGGCCCTGTGGTAGAGTCCTGTTAAGCTACACTGATCCCACAGGTCAGCTGGATCCATTTAGACACTGGCCTGTCAGATAAATGACACTGAGAGCCCTGGGCTGGAAACTGGTTCACAACATTTTTCTTCAGTCATCTTTCTTTTGTTAACATTTTTTAAGCTGTATTTTCTTTCTCTCTTCCACTTTCTACATATACATACACGTTTTCTGCTGAATTTTTTGCAAGTAAGTTGGAGTCATCATGAGCTTTAACTTTAACCCTAATTCTTCTGCATGTCCTTTTTTTTTTTTTTTTTCTTAACGATTGATCTGTTTGAAAGAGCTACAGAGAAGGAGAGACAGAGCGTCCATTTCCTGGTTCACTCCCCAGATGACCAAAATGGCCAGGGTTGGGCCAGCCTGAAGCCAGGGCCCGGAAGCTTCATCTGGGTCTGCCACATGGGTGGCAAGGGCCCAAACACTTGGACCATCTTCCACGGTTTTTCCCTGGCCATTAGCAGGGAGCTGGATCGGAAGTGGAACAGCCAGGACTCCAATCAGTTACCCACATGGGATGCCAGTGTTGCAGACTGCAGCTTAACCCACTGCAACACAGCGCCAGCTCCTTATTTATTTGTTGGTTGGTTTGCAAGGCAGAGTTACAGAGAGAGAGATCTACCATTTGCTGGTTCACTCTCCAGATGGCTGCAACTGCTGGGGCTGGGCCAAGAGGAAGCCAGGAGCTTTTTCCTGGTCTCCCATGTGGGTGCAGTGGCCCAAATACCTGGGCCATCTTCTGCCGCTTCCCCAGGCACATCAGCAGAGGGCTGCACCAGCACCCATAATGGGTGCTGGCGCCACAGGTGGAGGCTTAGCTGCTGTGCCACAACACTGGCTCCAGCACGTACGTTCTTAATTCTGCTATATGGCCTGAATAAGGCTGCCAACTTAAGGCACCATATTCACATTTCCCAATTACCCCAAAAGTATTTTCTCCCCAAATACCCCATTTTGGTTCAGGATCCAGTTGTAACTGTTTAGTTTCTTAGTCCAGATCAGCCTTCAACCCCTTTTCTTTGTAACTGACATTTTAAAAGGGATTACAAATTGTCCCACTTTGTGGGTTTTCCTGATTACTCCCTCATGATCGGAGTCAAATCAAACACTTTTGGCCAGAATACCACTTGGGTGATGCTGTGTGTCTTACTGTGCCCCACCAGGATACACCTCATGTGGGGACCCGGTGTTGGTGATGCTAAGATAGTGACTGTCAGGCCTTTCTGATGTAAAGGGACAATTTTCCTTGTGTGGTATGATGTTTTGAGACCATAAGCCTGTTCCCCAACAGTTAATCCATCACTCAGTCACGTCTTCATCTTTGCTTGCATCGCACATCACCAGTGCTGAGGGACCAGGAGAAATTAGAGTGATGGTGTCAGGATGTTAGAACAATGGCAGAATGTAGACATGTGTGAGCAGAATTAGCGTCTGGCTTCAGAGTTGGTCCAAATCCGCGTGTGATTCTAATACACAACTGGAGGGTAGCTCCCACTGTGTCCTTGTTTATTTTTTCCAACTTCTGGAAATTTTCTTTCTGATGATGTCCACCTGAATTAGTTTTCGCTTCCTTCCTTCCTTTCTTTCCTTCTTTCTTTCTGATTTATTTTGAAAGGCAAAGTTACAGAGAGAGGGAGATCTTCCATCCACTGGTCCCCAAATGTCCACACTGAATGCGGCGTGGCCAGACCTAAGACAGGAGCTTGTAACTTCATCCAGGTCTCGCATGTGGGTGCAGGGCCCAAGCACTTGAGCCATCTTCCATTGTTTTTCCAGACACTTGAGCAGGGAGCTGCTTGGAAGTGGAGCAGCTGATACTGGAACTGGTGCTCAACTGGGGTGCTGGCAGCGCAGGCGGCGGCTTAACTTACGCTGCCACAGTGCCGGCCCTGTGAATTAATTTTCTTCAGGAGCCTAATTAGTTTGCTCTTCTGCTCTTCTAGTAACTGAATTTCCAATCTGAGAAGAAAATTAATTTAGGGAAGGAACCAGGTGCATTGAAGAAGAGAGACTTCGTTAATGCAAGCATCTGCTGTGGCCCGGGAGTGCAGAGGAGGATGGCCCAACTACTTGGGTCCTGCACCCGCATGGGAGACCAGGATAAGCACCTGGCTCCTGGCTTCGGATCAGCGCGGTACGCTGGCCGCAGCGGCCATTGGAGGGTGAACCAATGGAAAAAGGAAGACCTTTCTCTCCCTCTGTCCACTCTGCCTGTCAAAAAATAAAAAATAAAAAGAAAATACAAGAGTAGAGAGCAAAAACAAGAAAGTGTTGGGGTTGATGGGAAAAAGGTCAAACAAGCTTATGTGTTATTTTTAAGTACATGCTATTCCTCTCAATACCTTATTAGAAGCATTTTATATATCTTAGGGTGAGATAGGGAAAGTACTGGATTTTGAAATTGAACATCTTAGTTAAGCCCCAGTTGTCCCATTTACTGCCTGTGTAAGTGAACTCACATAAACATGTTTCTTAATATTTCTGAGCCATCTTCCCTGGATTAGTAGAGTAATCATAAGAGAAGTGTTATATATACTTATTATGTAGAAAATTAAGGATAGCATAATATTAATTTTTTAAAAAATGCTAAAGAATTGTAACCTCAAAATTGAGAAAATCAGTTTTCACTTATTAAAAAGGAAGGGCTTTTAATGATTTAGTCAACAGAAGTTTGGGTTTCATCAAAAATAATATTAGAGAGGCCAGCATTGTGGCATAGTGGGTAAAGCCACTGCCTGTGACTCCGGCATCCCATAGGGGTGCTGGTTTGAGTCCTGGTTGCTCCACCTCTGATCCAGCTCTCTGCTAATGTGCCTGGGAAAGCAGTGGAGGCCGGCCAAGTGCTTAGGCCCCAGCGCCCACATGGGAGACCAGGATGAGCTCCTGGCTCCAGCCTCCAGCCTCCAGCCTCCAGCCTGACTCAGCCCTGGTCAATGCAGTCATTTGGGGAGTAAACCAGTGGATGCAAGATATCTGCTCTGTAACTCTGCCTTTCAAATAAATAAAATAAATCTTAATAAATGAATAAAAGACTATTAGAAATTGACAGGGCTTCAGTCATATTATTACCACACTCTCATTTTCAGGCACGAAATCGGGCCTCTCTGGAGACGTTCAGACAGGTTGGACCGCTGCTTTTCCAGAACAGAGAGGAAACTCATGCATCAGAAAAGGTTTGAGCTTAATGACTGATAAGATCTTCTTTACTATTAAGGAAGTCGGCTATGTTTTCATTTTCGGTGTGAGATATAAAAGTATAGTTTGTTGTTTCTTCCTGAAGTTCAGTGAGTGTTCTTTCCTGGTTCAACAGTTCAGAAAGTTCAGGGTCTAGTGGATGACCTCTTGTACTTTCAGGTAAAAACCTCTTGGTAAACCTGGTTTCTTGCCTATTTTATTGCCCTTTTTTTTTTTTAAGTTCCTACAGAACAATAGGATACTATTGTATCCTATTGTACTAATACTTCCATGAAATTTTTCATACCATTTACTAGATCTTTTCAGAATGTTTTTTGAGTGGGAATCCAAAAGAACTCCAGTTTGGGAGTCTTGCTAACAATATTTACCATGCTGCAACTTGTACTCCCCCCCCCCCCAAAAAAAAAAAAAGACAGAGCCACAGAGAGAGAAAAAGGTCTTCCATCCTTTGATGCATTCCCCAGAAGTCTGCCACAGGAGCCAGAAGTCCATCCCGGTCTGCCACATGGATGGCAGGGGCCCAAGCAGGTGGACAATTTCTGCCTTCACAGGCACATTAGTAAGAAGCTGGATCACAGGTGGAGCCGCTGGGACATGAACCGGCACTCCAGAGTGGGAGGCCAGCCCTGTAAGCAGCAGGATACTGCTACATCACAATGCCAGCTGCTGCATCTTTTTTTTTTTTTTTTTTTTTAAGACTTACTTATTTATAAATCAGAATTACAGAGAGGAGAGGCAGGGGGAGGGAGAGATGGATCTTCCATATGCTGGTTCACTCCCCAGATGGCCGCAGCAGCTGGAGCTGGGCCTGTCTGAAGCCAGGAGCTTCTTTCTGATTTCCTACATGGGTGCAGGGGCCCAAGCATGAGGCCAGCCTTTGCTGCTTTCCCAGGCACATTAACAGGGAGCTGGATTGGAAGTAGAGCATCTGGGACTCTTAACCAGCACCCATATGGGATGCTGGCTCTGCAGACAACAGCCTAACCCACTGTGCCCCAGTGCTAGTGCTGGTGCTGGCCCTTGCATCTCGTTCTTGGCAAGGATGAAAAAACTATACAACCTCATTTTTTTAATTAACCTTTTTTGAGATTAAAAATTCACATACAATTATAAAAAATTTCATAACAGACCCCTTGTGCCCTTTACCCAGTTTTCCTCTATGGAAACATCTTACAAAGCTAGAGTGCAATGTCACATACAAGATACCGGTATAGTTAATATCAGAACACTTCAAGTACACGATCTCTCGTTGCCTTTTTATTCCCTTCTACCCCGACCTCATCCCTAACCCCTGGCAACCACTAATATGTTTTCCAGTTCTGTAATTCTGTCGTTTTAAAAATGGTAAGTGGGATCATACAGTATGCAAGCTTTTTTCATTCATCATTTTTCAGGCTGTTGCATGTACCAGTAACTCATCCTTATTATTGCTGATTAGTATTTATTCCATGGTAAAAATAAATATGCTGGTTTGTTAAACCGTTTGCCCACTGAAGAATATCTGATTTATTTCCAGATTATTTTCCCTCTTTTTCTAGGACTCCAATGCCACAAATATTAGCTCGTTACAGTCCTACATAGTTCTGTTAATTTTTTTATTCCATTTTTCCCTCTTATTCAATTTGAATAATCCTGTTTCCAGTCTTCCAATTCATTAATTCCTTAGTCCTCTCCATTCTGCTGTTTTATCCATTGAGTTTATTTTGGTTATTATATTTTTTACTTCTTAAAATTTCCATTTAGTTCTTAATGTCTTGTATTTCTTTCCTGAGACTTTATTTCGTTGTTTCAGCTGTGTTCACGATGAACTCACTGAGCCGTTTAGTCCCTTGTCAGAGCATCCTCACACTTAGGCCCAGTGTTGTGACCTACTGATTGCCTTTTTTTTTTTCCATTCAGTTTGAAATCTTCCTAGTTCAGGGTATGAGTGTTTGTTTTTTTTTTTTTTTTATTGTAACCTGGACATTTTGTGTATCTTGTTAGGAGATTATAAGGTTCTAGATTCTATTTAAACCTTCTCTTCTAGCTGACTCCATCAGAAGATGGTGGGGGCAGGGGTGTAGAGTGGCGTCTCACCTCTGGCGGAGGTAGCCCAGGTTCTACCCTGTGACGCTGCAGAGGCGGCAGGAAGCGCCTTGCTATCTGAACATGGGTGGGAGTTCTGGCTCCTCAGCAGACCTCCACTGATAACTCCCTGGCTGGGAGGGGCTGAGTGGGTCTCTGCTTTCACATGGCTTCCCTGAACCCCTCAGGAGGGCAGCACAGCTTCTGAGTCTCAGCTGGGCCTCCTTCAGTGCTTGGAGGAAAGGGAGAGAAGCTCCTCGTTCCTGCTGCTTGAGTTGGACGCCAGGCTCCTCCCCTTGTGGTTGCCACCAAGTGGACATGGGGCTCTTGTGGCTGCCTGACAGGGACGACCGTCTCCTGCTCCCTCTCTGGCCTTCTCCGTCACCACACTGCTGCGTGTGTTGGACACCTTGTTACAGACCTCTGAGGATGGAGATCTGGGCTCACCAGTTGGACTAAGCTGGTGTGGATAAGGATAAAGGCCACCATTTTCTTTTCCTGTGGTGTTTGCCAGAACAGTAGCTACTGTTTAAAATGTTTTCTGTGACATACATTTGGGCCTAAACTTGAATTCCCTACTTATTTTCAACTCCCTGTAAGCTTCATAAAAACTTCATGCTTTTCACAGCCTCATTCAGTACAAAATGAATGTACATACTCAGTTGATCTTATGTTATCAGGGAACTCAAAACTAAATATGAAGCATAACATATATGTCAGCCTACACTGTCCCTGATTACTGTTTCCTTTACATACTGTTTCATTTCCATTTGAAGCAGCTTTATTTATAAAATGTTTTTATATGAGATGTTCAATCTTTTTTAGGACTAAGGTAGTGTAAACAATGTGATTATCATATATGTGATAATCCATATGTCTAGATTAACTGCATCCAAGTCCTACATTTAAGATATATAAAAATCTCAGTATCCAAGTCCTGCATTTAAGATATGTAAAAATCTCAGTAATCCAGAAAGACTTTGATTTGTCTTATGTTCACTAGTTTCTGAGCAGTCTCTGATTGCCCTGTTTGAACTGTAGAATATTTAACTCTCATGACTTTTTTTAGAGTTTTTTAGAACTCTTAAGTATCTTTCATAAGGGTTGTTGAATTGTAAGTGAATGCTGTTAACAATTAGTAGAACCTTTGCATTTACTTAGAAGTCATTAAAAATGTAAAAGAATTATTTGTAGCAACCTAATTAACTGAAATTATTTTACGAAGATACCAGAGATTGGATTCTCTTCCAACCTTACCAAGAATGGGGCTTTAACAAGTGTCTTTGTAAGACAATAGAGCATACTGCCTTGAAACTGGAGATAGAGATAGGGCCTCTGAGTCTCCTACTTAGGAAATCTAATTTTAAATGATAAGGTCCTGTGGTCCCTAATGATCCCTGAGATTGGGGTGGCCTGTAATTACAGTTAGAGATGTATAAATATGAGCAGTGATTATCTCACTCTTCAGGTAGCCTGTAAACATATACAAATTGACAAACTTTTTTTTTTAATCAGGTGATTAAAAAATATACGAAAAGACTATGGCTGGACAAATACCAGAATCTGATCAGATAAAACAGGTAAGGTGTTAAAATAAAGGGAAAGGATTTATCAAAAAAGTTATACACTTCTAAATACAACCATGTCAGTTGGTGATCTTGGAAAATAAATGTTCATTAAATGTTTATATTCCATTTCCAAAAAGTGGACATTAAGTGATATGACGCATATGTATTTTTCAGTTGGCTAATAATCAGGAAAAAATATTCAACTATAAGACTATATTTTGTAGGTTGTATTTGTTAGTAAAATAATTTGTCATTATAGGATATTTTGTCTTACTATAAAACATCAGTAATTTAAGTTTCAAACCATTTTTGTTCTAAGAACCAAATATCAAAAAAACCTTCTGGTTTGTTTGTAGTTTAAAGAATTTCTCGGAACCTACAATAAACTCACAGAAACCTGCTTTTTGGACTGCGTTAAAGATTTCACAACAAGAGAAGTAAAGCCGGAAGAGGTATGAAAAGTGTTGCTCACTAAAAACTTGCTAAACTTGTCCTGAACAATAGGATATCCCTGAACGTGTCACAGATTCCTACTTACTACAGGAATGTGGCTACCTTTTAAGTTCCAGTGCTTGACAGCTGAAATGACCAAGGACCCATGGCACTGAGTTTAACAGTGCCAGATTTGACAGTTCCATTGTACTGAGGTAGACATTTTAAGGGAACATGCCTGGGGTTCTGGGTTACTGTTTCATGACGAACATTCTTAGTAACTTCCAGTCGTGATGGCCTCGTCAGAGAAACTTGACACAGCCTTTCTGTGTGTGGCCCAGAAAACTTGGGTTGACTTTGAAAAAAGCAGAATGTGAATTTGGTGGTTTGTGTTGTGTAACTAGACTCTGAAAACACAGTCCTATTAGCAGTCTTTAAGTGTTCTCACCCAATTTTACTCAAAATGATATAAAATTCTTCCATAGAAAGATGTTGATAAACATTAATACCAAAAACTTAACATATAACCAATAATCAGTAAGTACTTGTTAGATAATTGACAAAGTTTAGGAAAGATGCTAAGTTTAATATTGTTAAAAAGTAAAAGGTTGAGAATTAAGTTAAAAGTGTTGAGAATGGAGTTTTCATTTAAAAAAATGCATTTGTTGCTGTGTTTACATTTTAACAGTCTAAATAAAGGGATAGGCATACGGATTGTCACTTTATACTGACACAGACTTATGGAAAATCCAGACTAGAAGCTTCTTAAAGGCAGGGACTTAGCATTGTTCTTAGTGCCTAAAAACTGACGGCATTCAGTATTGATTCTTTTCAGTTGATGAAATTATCAACAAATGAAAGCAGTGGCCACTTACAACTGATTTAATTCTCAGATATACTCCAAAAAAAAAAAAAAAAAAAAGGCAAAGCACCTATGCTCTTCTTTTAGAATATGTGAATTTTTAAAAACTACATTTTTATGTTGCCTCTTGGATTTTTCCTTTTTACTTTTAGACTACCTGTTCAGAACATTGTTTACAGAAATATTTAAAAATGACACAGAGAATATCCATGAGATTTCAGGAATATCATATTCAGCAGAATGAAGCACTGGCAGCCAAAGCAGGACTCCTTGGGCAACCACGATAGGGAAGTCCCGAAGGACGGACTTGCCGAGAAAGATGGCCAGCAGGTGTTGCCCTGAGAACGGGATTCATCTGATAGAATCCCTGAACGCAGTAGGAGCCATGACAAACCATCCATCATGGCTGTCTAACAGATGAAAACCACTGGAGAAACAAAGATTGCTGTTCACCAGGAGTAACTGAAATAGAAGGTCTTATTGTTCAGTGAAAATAACAAGATGCAACATTTTGTTGAGGCCTTACAATTCAGCAGCTTGGTCACTTGACTAGAAAAATAAACCATTGTTTCTTCAATTGTGACTGTTAATTTTAAAGTAAAATATGTGTTCAATCATGTAAAAGATAAAAAAAATTTATTGCTAAAGTAAAATAAATGGAAATATCACTGAGCAGTTGTTTATGCTACAAGAGTACATGGTATTCTGACTGGACTGTGGATACGGTGAATGTTTTTCAATCACGAACATCCTCCAAGTATTCCTGTTCATTCATGTCTGCCTCAAATTGCTGGTAAATACACAAAACAGTTAACTTGTTGATCATTGCAATTTACAATCCTTTTCTTGCTCCCCTCTTGAGTCAGGGTGGACGTTACACATTCTCATCTACTTAGGTTTTATATCTTCAGGACATGTCCCATCTAACCCTAGCTTTGGAATGTCCAATAATTGACCATTACACTCTAGTAGCACCTGTGCTGTTGTGTTTGGTTCAGAGGCTGAAAATCTAACATGAATGAGTCCAAGTATGACCAACAGTATACAGTTCAGTCTCAGCCATAACATGTGACCACAAAGTGAACCAAAGCTAAAGTACAATCTTATGGCTAATAAATTCTGAAAGAAACCCAAGCATTTGTAGGAAATTCTAGTTGATGCATTAAGTAAAGCAAGCGGTCTGATAAACGTAAATGAATAAGCTAGTAATGAATTGACTTACACATGGACTTCATTTGATGCCAATAGAAACTTGTTGTAACAGAACAGTAATTAGCCTATGTTTGAATTTACCAAAGTACTTTTTGTTTTATCACATTAATGGAAAGTAGTTATCAATCTGCATGAAGTTGAAATGTTGAAGCATGTACAATATTTAACAAAACATACAATCATTATAGTCAAAGAAACAAGAAACAGATTTCCTTCACTTGAAGCAAGAAGAGCACCAAAAATTCAGAGATTTTCCTCAAAAGTTTGGGCAACTGCCACACATCCTTTGCTATTTCTATATAATTAAGCCCCATGGGGTCATTTACTGTGTACAGTTTGCGAAGGTGATTAAATAATGTACTTACCTGGCAAATAAGGGGAACTCTGTGCAACAGCATCTCAAATACCTTGGGAGGGAGCGTGTATTTGAAAACCTTCAGGAGTTCCCGGGGTTGCCCACACAGTAAGAGGGCGTTACTGAGATGTTCAACTCCCATTCTGTGCTCTCCTGAAACAGATCGATAGGTTTTAAGCACAATTTTAAAGTTCTTTAAAGTACGGATTCTATACATTACCAGGAAAGAAACAAGCATTAAAAATAAGACGCTGAAAACCGTATCAAACAAGACCATGTAGACGAGTCTCGTGAGCGGTGTAGAGCACTAATGTGGGATGGGGAAGCTGCAGTCTGAATGCGACAGCGCGTGTAGACGTGCACTCTTGTACTGCAAATGGTTAGCCCTGCACCTAGTACACTGGGGAGGGGTCCTGAGGGGCTTTCTTAATTTTAATGTGGTGTGCTTTTAGTAATTTAAGAGTTTGTGTGTGCAGTTGGTGAAATATAGATGAAATGTTTGATGTTCTGGCTACATTCAACTTCTTAAAAATAATTCCATTATCAAAGAGTTGAAACAACATTTAGTGTAACATGAATTACATATCCATAGGAAAAAATATACTTAATTAAATTCAATTTTTTTTTCAGGATTTATTTTATTTATTTGAAAGGCAGAGTTAGAGAGATCTTCCATCTGCTGGTTCACTACCAAAATAGCTGCAACAGCCAGGGTTGGGCCAGGCCAAAGCCAGGAGCCAGCAGCTTCATCCAAATTGCCCATATGAGTGCACAGGCCCAAGCGCTTGGGCCATCCTCTGCTGCTTTCCCAGGAGCATTAGCAGGGAGGATTCCGACTGGCACCCATGTGGGATATTGGCACTGCAGGCTGCAGCAGCTTAAGATGCCACAACACTGGCCCCTGAATTTCTAAGTAAAATTTTAAAGTGAGTTTTAGGATGATTGGCTGTACAGCAGCAAAGAATCAAAATTAGTTGAGAGTAGAAATTACTCAGGGTTTCTGACTGAGTGAGAACATGGAATGACAGTTTCACTTCCTTATTTTACTTTTAGGAATCTGGGGCAGAGATCAATGAAGTGATTTAAGGTTTCAAGGGTGATTAATGCCAGCGTAGACCAGAGAGTGTACACCTGTCTTCAGGTCTTACATTAACGTGGTAGGTGAACTTTGACACATGTAATATAACTAAGCCAGAAATGAAAATTAATTTACTACAGCTAAATTATTAACATATTTTTCCAATTATTGGTTGAAACACATGATTACATCAAGAGAAATTAACATGGTGGGGGGACTATTCTTCAGAGACTTGTACTAAACTTAAACTGAAAAACCATGAGGCTGTGACCTGCCTTAGACACTCAGGAAGCCTTCTCAATGCTGTGCGGGTTTCAAGACTTAAGGTTTTGTGTCTGTCTAGATACCTACTTTTTTTTTTTTTTTTTTTTTTTTTTTGACAGGCAGAGTTAGTAAGAGAAAGAGACAGAGAGAAAGGTCTTCCTTCTGTTGGTTCACCCTCCAAATGGCTGCCATGGCTGGAGCTATGCCGATCCGAAGCCAGGAGCCAGGTGCTTCTCCTGGTCTCCCATGTGGGTGCAGGGCCCAAGCACCTGGGCCATCCTCCACTGCACTTCCCTGGCCACAGGAGAGAGCTGGCCTGGAAGAGGGGCAACCGGGACAGAATCTGGCGCCCCAACCAGGCGCAGTGCCGGCCGACACCTACTTTGTATTCTTAAGAGATTTTCACTGAGTTTTTAGTAATAGTTTTCTTACATATTTAAGATGTTTCTTTCATGAAATACTGTGCTAATATTTCACAAAAATTTACTTTAGCAATATTAACAGCTTTATGTAGGTAATACAGTAAGTCAGAATACTTTGATTCTGTGGAACTTTTTAAAGGGAAAAAATGCCTGCTCTCGAGCTTGATGGTGCTAACAATACAGATGCAATCAACGTGGTCAGTTAAGTCAATCGGCTGATAAGCTCATTCGTACCAGCTCCCATACAGAAATGACCACAGTTAAGGTGGGTGCAGAACTTTGTTCTGAAAGCAAAGTAATAAAAATGAGGAGTAGTAGCAGAGAGGAATGGAGAGGGCTGAAAAGATTACAGAAAACTGGGTGAAAATTACCACATTAGAACACTGGTCTCTGCGTTGGATTTAAACTGTGGCAACCTTGGGAAATTTAAAAAATACTGATGCCTGTATCCCACCACTAGAGATTCTTGTGTAATTGGTTTGTTGAGAGTTTGTTTCATGGAGAATGCTTCATGTTTGTTTCATGGAGATTTAAAGAATAGGCAGTGGGGCTGGCATTGCAACATAGTGGGTAAAACCACTGCCTGTAACACGGGAATCCTATATGGACATGATTTGTATTCAAGCTGCTCCACTACCCATCAGGCTCCCTGCTAATAGCCTTGGAAAAATCAGCAGAGGATGGTCCAAGTGCTTGGACCCCTGCCAGCCACATGGGAGACCCAGAGGAAGCTCTTGGATTCAGCCTGGCCCAACCCTGGTCTTTACAGCCTTCTGGAGAGTGAATTATCAGATGGAAGATCTTTCTGTCTCAATCTCTCTAACTCTTTCAGATAAATAAGTAAACCTTAAAAAAATTAGGTGGCCAAGATTGAGAACTGCATGATAAAGTTTAGAAGTATATAGCCCTTAAGAGATTTAAGGGTTCACTGAAAAATGATATCCCTTTTAAAAAGAGGTAAAATCCCAATTTTATAATTTTTGTTCTAATGATTTAAATATTTGTAATTTATCTACCACTAAATAAATTTATCACATGATACTTGTTAATGTGAATAGGAATGAAATGTGATAAAGTATTTTTTCTTTTGATTTGTATTTCAGAATTTTCTTCCTCACATTTATCCTATTCAAATTCAATAAATTTTTAAATTGAAAAATTTTATTTATCTTAATTTCCCCCTTTATCTAGGAAGGTTCCCTATCTAGGTATAAATCCAGATTTTTGTGAGGCCCCTCACATAGACAATTTGGGGGCCTAAGAACATAAAACCATGAATACAGAATTGCTAGGGAAACTTGGAAGCCAGCTGTGCAAATGAACTCCTGTACTTGTGTGAACTCATTCCTGTTTGCATCATGTAAGTCAGTTCCATGGATTTTCTCATTAACATTTAACAGATATCTTTAGTCCATTTAAAAAGTTGCTCCACCTAAAAACAAAGACAAGAACTAAATAAAGTATTAAAACTTCAATTATGATTAACATGCAATGACTTTGAATGGCTGCATGTTTTTCATTACTTAAGATGTTTGTAATGGTTTTAAGCCAGTGAATAGGTAAAAATCTTTGCATTGCTATGAGTTGTCTATGATATTCCTCTTTTTATAAATCCTAGAGAATTCCATCCACTCAGAGATTGAAAAATAGAACCTTTTATTGTGAAATACTTTCAAATCCATCCAGAATAAGTCAAATCCAAGTACAGTCCATGGCCATTGTATTAAGATAGCCCCTACAGGCATCACTGTATTAAATACAGTATATGGGCATTTGTAATGATTTTATCAAAAGTATTTTGTTAAGAATGTTGTTGGGGAGGGGGGCTAGCGTTGTGGCATTGTGGGTAAAGCCCACTGCCTGTAACACTGGCAGCTTGTCCTGGTTGCTCCACTGCCGATTCAGCTCCCCTCCAATGGCCTGGAAAAAGCAGTAGAAGGTGGCCCAATTGCTTGTGCCCCTGCTACCCATGAGGGAGACCAAGCTCTTGGCTCCTGGCTTTGGCCTTGCCCAGCACTGGCTGATGGAGCTCTCTGGGAGAGTGAACCAGCTGATGGAACACCTTTGTCTCTGTTTCTCTCTCTGTAACTCTGACTTATCAATAAAAAAAAAAATCTTTTTCTAAAATAATGCTTTTTTAAAAAGTATCCCAAAAAAGGCCATTGGAGGGTGAACCAACGCCAAAAGGAAGACCTTTCTCTCTGTCCCTCTCTCTCACTGTCCACTCTGCCTGTCAAAAAAAAGAAAAAAAAAAAGTTTTGATTAACAATCATCTGAAAAATGCACTAGAACTTTATATGGCAATGAGGTGTTTGCCTCCCCATCTGCTTTCTTCCAGGACTACGTGCAACATAGACTCGTGCACTAACTCAGGCAGGGATGAGTGAAAATGCTAGGACAGATTCTGTCTAACTGAAGCATGCTAGTTAACACTGCTAACTTATTTGACATATAAATTCTAATCAGCAAATATTTAGTGAACGTAAATGACCATAATTTAGTAAAGAATGTTTATATTCTTACCTCTAGATAACCAAAGTTCTCCCATCTGTACCTCTTGCAAAAAAAGTTCCTGTAATTTTTCATTCTTTGCTGTATCCCACAACTAAAAGATTCATAAAATAATTAAAATAGTTAACAGTGAGTAATGAATGTAAGTTATATGGTTACTGATCAAAATTATATGGCTTTTATTTGAAAAGCACATCTTGAACGCGGTCTCTAAATCCAAAGTATGACAAATGCCCTTGTTCTTTATAATATTTAAACAAATTTCCTAATATGGATGATTAAAAAAAATACCTGGTCTACTCAAGTTAGATTGAGATGCTTGTAGTAGCTCTCATTCCCATGTATTTTACCCGGCTTAATAAGTACACATGTCAGAAATCCTGCTGTAATTAATAGAACAAAGGAGGCTGTGTTATTTTCTTGCCTGCAGTGATTGTTGACCTGGCTGCAATGACTTCTCAGCCTACAGAGTCAGTTGGTTATGATATCTATGCATGACGGAAGTTACGCTAAGGCTTCTACAAAGAAAGGGGCAAAGGATAAGGAAGGAGATTGGCAGAGCAGCTGGTGAGTGTTGAGAGGATGCTTCCTTTGCTGTGGCCCAGATCACGAAGATGACCATGGCCAAAAGATGGCACCATCACTGATAGTATGCCTCCGGCTGGTAGAAAGTAGAATGGGCAAGCGCTAATCCAAAATAACAACTTCACTTCCAGTCACTTCAGTCTTTTTTATCTGAAGACTTTTTGTCTTCCCTAGAATTCTCATTTTAAAATGTGATGAGCTTGGAGGTTTGGGGATGGTTTCCCATTCAACCTTTCAGGCTTGTATCAGCAAGTATGCTAATAATCAGGAACAACCACAGGTTTCATTCAGTAGATTCATAGCACGAGCTAGGGCAGGACACTCGAGGAACTGGGAAGGGTAAGAGACAGACCACTGTGCCTATCCCCAAGGGTCAGTGACACAGAAGTATGTCATGAAGGCCAAAGCACAGGGACATTACATTTGGTTGGAGAACCAGGGAGGTTTCTCAGAAAAAGGCAGCACTTGAGATGTAAGTTTGATGAAGCAAGTATAAGCAAGGCCACATTTCAATGCCAAATTACCAAGAGATCTCAGTTATTTACATGGCCTGTGATAGGGTGAATGTGGCAGCAGTAATAATTACAGTTACTGAAGGTCGGCTATGGACTAGGAGCTTAAATAAATGATATCCCATCCTTAGGAAAGCCAATGTAGAAGGCACCCATGGTAGAAGGCTGTGTTGCCAAAAAGGTCTTTAATCTGCAGAGTAGGAAGCTACCCTGAGGAGTTACATACAGGGACACTCCAAAAGTTCGTGGAAAATAGAATTAAAAGGTAGGCTTATTGTAGTGCAAAAAAAAAAATTTTTAAACCATGCATAGTTTTTTGTAATACCCATTTTCCATTAACTATTTACAGACCTCTCATTCAGAAGGGATTTGATGTAGCACAAGAATAGAGGCAAGGAGATAAGTCAGGAAACTATTACAATAGCTGGCTAAAACGTAATCTTTGGAGTAAAAGGTAATTGTGAAATATATAACTATATGTTTGCTTGCCCCTGGGAGCCCAGCCCACCCTTTACTCCCAACTGTAAGGGAGTTAGCTTCCAGGGGATCCAAAGCCTTGCCTGGAGCCCAGCAAGCAATCCCCACCACGCCCTGCTCAAATTGCTTGCAAATTCTGGAGCAAAGTAGATTTTAAGATGTAAGGACAACAGACAAAAGGAACACCCCGCGTAATAATCCTGCCCTGAGAAGGATCCAGCTTTCTCGGGTTCCTGGGAGACTTCCTGTTGGGGTTTCTCCTACTCCATTGCTCATCTCTGCCGTAGCTTCACGCCTAGGAGGCTTCCAAACTAGCGCCGCCTGCCCACTGAAAGCGGGTTAGGATTTAACTGCTCCTGCCATTTCAGAGAAGAACCCAGGAATCTGCAGCACCTCTCGGGACTGAGTTAGTTAAGCTGGGTCAGTCGCCAAGATAATTACAACTGTCCTCTAAACATGCCGCCTCCAACCGTGTCTGGGCAGACAATGAGGGTGCACCTGCTTCTGGGTAGAACGGGCCTGAGGGCACACAGGCTGTGTGGGCAGTGCACCTGCTCCCACTTCGTTAACTTTACGGCTGCCCTATCCCAGCCCGGACTTGTTCCTCCTGTGTTTCCTTTGGTAAAAGCAGCGAGCCAAAACTCAATCAAAGGCAGACCCTGCGCTGGGCGAGGCCGGCACCTGCACCTACGAAGCTACCTGGGTGTGGGTAAAGCTCGTCACCTGAGCGCCCCGCGCCTCGGCCCTCCGCTGTCCGGCTCTTCTTTCTGCAAACACAACGCACCGGCTGCAGGCCCCGGGCCGAGGCGCTCCCGGCTGCCCGCCCGCGGTTCGCAGTGCCCGGCGCCGCCCGGCCGCGCCTCCGCCGCCGCCGCACTCACTGTCCCGCAGGCGGCGCTTGAACGCGGGGTCGCCACGCCGCTTCCGGTCGAAGTAAACGCAGTAGCCGAGGAAGGCGACGGCGCCCAAGGCCGCCAGGGTAGCCAGGAGGCCCAGCAGCGGGCGGACGCAGGACATCCGGCCTCCGGCGCCCCAGGAGCCGAGCGTTAGGCGCGGGCCGGCCGGCCGGCAGGGGCGGCCAGCGGCGCGGCCTTGGGCTCCCACGCGGCCGCGAGGCGAGCGGACTGGGAAGTCGAGGGTCCACAGCCACCACGTAGCAGAGCGCTGTCCGAACCAGGTCTGTCGCACTCCAGATTCAGAAGCCCTGGCCCTGCCCTAAAGGCCTCCGGCACCCATCCAGGCCGATCTGAGTGCCTGGGGATCTGCCCAGCTGGGCGCTTGGGTCTCCCTTCGTCCTTTTCCCACACCTGCAGCATTCAGGGGTCAGCTTTGGGTACCCCCTGGTGCACAGCGCCTCCCGCTGGCCCGTCCTCCGGGCCTGGCCTTTGTCACCGAAAGGATACAGTCCTCAGAGGTCTCCAAGCCCCTGACATCAGGAGCCGGAAGAGGAAGGAATATTATTATTATTATTATTAAGTCAAAGATACAGAGAGAGAAGGGGAGAGAGAGAGAGAGATCAACAGAGATCTTCCATCTACTGGTTCACTCCCCAAATGGCCACAAGTACCCGGGCTGGGCCAGACCAAAGCCAGGGGGCCAGCAGCTTCAGCCTGGTCTTCCACGCAGGTGCAGGGGCCCAAGCACCCCTTCTCTGCAGGCTGATGGCCCCGGGGGCCTCACTGCTTCCTCAGGGACCGCGTGCTTCTCCTAGGATACTCTGGCTTCCAGCTGAGGGCTTGGTCCTTGCCAAACCCTGACAGCAAACACAGGAAAAGGACAGGATCAGTAAGCGTTACCGGCCATCTGGATCCGCGTTCTGAATCCCCTGTACGGATAGGAGAAGTGTCACAGCCGCTGGAAGGAAACAGATTACCAAGGCGGACATTGTCTCAGAACCGCGAGGAAAACCAAAAAGTTCCCGTGCAAGTGTGAAAGGGAGAGGCGGATGTCTTCTTCGCAAATTCAGACACCACTCTCACTGACTGGTGACAGAGAATTCCCATTAAGCTTTGATGATGTTCCAATAGAGAGAGCATTAGTAGTAGTCCCCAGTGCAGGGCGAGGTGTAACTGTAATATAATAAATTACACGTTTGGAGCATATGGTTGGGTAGATATCAACACATGTCATGGAATCATCACCAAAATCAAGGCAGTATCCTAGTCATCATCCCCCAGTTTCTTCCGGCAGCTTTAATAGTTTCCTGCTCATGCCCCAGTGATCCCCTATAGGTTTTTTTCTCTCATTATTGGTTAATTTGCATGTTCTAGATTACTGTATGAATGGAGTCATATAGTGTGTACTCTTTTATTGTCTGGTTTCTTATGCAACATAATTACTTTGAGATTCACGAATATTATTGTACCAGTGGCTCATTTTTATTGGTAAGTAGTATTCCATCTTATGGCTATGCCAACATTTATTTAGCATTCCTCTATTGATGGATATTTGAATTATTTCCTTTTTTTTTTTTTTTTTTACTACAAATAAAGCTGCTAACAGCATTTATATACAGGTCTTTATGTGGATGTTTCCTGTTCTCTTGGGCAAATACCTAGATCACTTAGTAAGGGCATGTCTTGTTTATTTGTAAGATTTATTCATTTATTTGAAAGGCAGAAATAGAGAGAAGGAGGGAGAAAGAGAGTACTTCCATCTACTGGTTTACTTCCCAAATGGCCCCAATGGCTGGGACTGGGCCAGGCTGAGCCAGGAGCCAGGAGCTTCTTCCAGGTCTCCCACATTTGGTGCAGGAGCCCAAGTACTTGGGTCGTCTTCCACAGCTTGCCCAAGTACATTAACAGGGAGCTGGATGGGAAGTGGAGCAGCTGGGACACCCGTATGGGATACCAGCACGGCAGGAGGAGGCTTAAGCTTCTATGCTACAGCAAATGCCAAGGGCTAGCATTGTAATAAGCAAGTTAGGCTGCTCCTTGCCCCATCAGCATCTCCTATCCAAGTCATTTGATTCGCTGCAACTCCATTTATGATCTCAGCTTTCTGCTAATGTGCTTGGGAAGGCAACAGAAGATGGCCCAAATTCTTGGCTCCCTGCCACCCATGCAGTAAACCACGATGGAGTTCCTGGCTCCTGGTTCCCGCGTGTCCCAGAGGTGACAGATGCAGCCATTCAGGGAGTCAACCAGTGGATGTAAGATACCTTGCTCACTTTCTCTTTCAAATTAATAAATAAACCTGGCCGGCGCCACAGCTCAATAGGCTAATCCTCCGCCAAGCGGCGCCGGCACACAGGGTTCTAGTCCCAGTCGGGGCGCCGGATTCTGTCCCAGTTGCCCCTCTTCCAGGCCAGCTCTCTGCTGTGGCCAGGGAGTGCAGTGGAGGATGGCCCAAGTGCTTGGGCCCTGCACCCCATGGGAGACGAGGAGAAGCACCTGGCTCCTGCCTTTGGATCAGCGCGGTGCGCCGGCAGCAGCGCGCTGGCCGCGGTGGCCATTGGAGGGTGAACCAACGGCAAAGGAAGACCTTTCTCTCTGTCTCTCTCACTGTCCACTCTGCCTGTCAAGAAAGGAATAAAACAGAGAGCAACCCTTAACAAAAAAAGAAAATGCCAAATATGTTTCTAAAAATGTTACCATTTTGCATTGCTAACAATGTATTGTATCAGAGTTCCAGTCTCTCTGTATCATATCAGCACTTGGTATGATTAACTGTTTTCATTTTAGTCATTATAATAGATATGTAATAGATTTATCTTGCATTTCTCTAATGCCTAATTATATTGAATGGCTTTTTCTTGAATAAACTTGATTGTTTACAGCAGTTTTGTGTTCACAGCAAAATGGAGTAGAAAGTACAGAAAGTGCTTATATGCCCCTCCCCGTTACCAACATTCCCCACAGAGAGGTATATGTGTTTGAACTGATGAAGCTAGCAATATTGTCACCTAAAGTCCATAGTTTGCATTGGATCACACTTGGTGTTGCACAGATGTATAATGGTTTCGGAAAATGTATAATGACATGTATGCACCATTATAATATCAGAGAAAAATTTCAGAGTTGGCATGGCGTAGTGGGTTAAGCAGCCACCTTGACACCAGCATCCCATATGGACACCGTTTCAGGTCTGGCTGTTCCCCTTCTAATCCAACTCCCTGCTAATGCATCTGGAAAACAGCGGAAGATGGCCCAAAGCCAGAGCAGGGACAGGTGGAAGCCAGAAGCCAGGAGCATCTTTCTGGGTTTTCCATGTGAGTGCAGGGGCCCAAGGACTTGTGCCATATTCCACTGCTTTCCCAGGAGCAGTAGCAGGGAGCTGGATCGGAAGTGGAGTGGCTGGGATTTGAATGGGTGCCTATATGGGATGCCGGCGCTGCAGATGAAGGTTTAACCTTCTACACTACGCCAGCTTCAAGCAGGTTGTTTTCAAAAGCATCGGGTTTTAAGCATGGGTGTCTGGCCTAGTGAAGATTCTGATTAAGATGCCTGCATCCTCTGCCAAAGTGCCTGGGTTCTGCTAATTCACACCCTGGGAGGCACTGGGAATGTGTCATGTAAGTGGGTTCCTGCCTCTCTGTGGAAGACATGGATTGAGCACTCAGCTCCTGGCCTTTGGGGACTTAACCGGCAGATGGAACCTCTCTCTCTCTCTCACCTTTCAAATACTGTCTCTGTGCCTTAGACTAAAAACCACTTGTCCATATATACATCAGCTTAATTCTGTGCCCTCTTCTGTGAATCTTATTCCAGAAACACCCTATTTTGATTATGGTGGCTTTATAACTCTTGCAATTAGGTAGTGCTTGTTAATTCTAAGTTAATAGTTCTAGCCTAATAGATTAGGCTATTCTTATACTTAGCTTGCTAATTTCTACAGAAATCCCTGCTATGATTTTAATTGGGATTGCATTGAATTTAAGAAGCAAAGAAAATCTCAAAATGCTATAGTTGATGTTCTATGAATAAGGTATATCTTGTTTACTTAGATTGGCTTTGTCTCAGCAATATTTCACAGTTTTAAGTAGAGAGATCTGTCCCATCCTTTGTCAGATTTATCCCAACATATCAAATTGTTGTGCTATTGTAAATTATATTTTAACAATTTCAATTGCTGACTACTTATTGTTAGAAGATGCAGTCAGTTTTTGTATATTAATCATGCATTATACAATTTTGTTAACTCACCAATCTGGATAATTGTGATTTTTTTTTTCTTATCTGAATGTCCTGCCTAGAACCCCAGGTAGGAGAAACCATTCAGTCTTTCATCATTAACTATGATATTAGTTGCCGGTTTTTCATAGACATCCCTTGTCATGTTGAGGAAGGTCTTTTATTTTAATATTTATTTATTTGAAAGACAGAATTAGATGGGGCTGGTGCTGTGGTGTGTCACGTTAATGCCTTGGCCTGAAGCGCCGGCATCCCATATGGGCCCCGGTTCTAGTCCTGGCCGCTCCTCATCCTATCCAGCTCTCTGCTATAGCCTGAGACAGCAGTAGAAGATGGCCCAAGTCCTTGGGCCCCTGTACCTGTGTGGGAGATCTGGAAGAAGCTCCTGGTTCCTGGCTTCAGATCAGCGCAGCTCTGGCCATTGCGGCCAATTGGAGAGTGGACCAGCAGATGGAAGACCTCTCTCTCTGTCTCTCTGTCTCTCTGTCTCTCTCTCTCTCTCTCCCTCCCTCTGCCTCTCCTCTCTCTGTGTAACTCTTTCAAACAAATAAATAAATCTTAAAGAAAAAGAAAGAGGGAAGTACTTGAGCCATCTTCCTTTAAAAAAAAAAGGATTTATGAATTTGAAAGAGATTTACAAAGTGAGCCAACTTCCTTTTTAAAAAATGCTTATTTATTTAACATATTTATGAATTTCAAAGGCAGAGTTGGCTGGCACCACAGCTCACTAGGCTAGTCCTCTGCCTGCGGCCCCGGCATCCCAGGTTCTAGTCCCAGTTAGGGTGCCAGATTCTGTCCTGGTTGCTCCTTTTCCAGACCAGCTCTCTGCTGTGGCCCGGGAATGCAGTGGAGGATGGCCCAAGTGCTTGGGCCCTGCACCCCATGGGAGACCAGGAGAAGCACCTGGCTCCTGGCTTTGGATCGGTGTAGCTCCGGCCATGGTGGCCATTTTGGGGGCTGAACCAACAGAAGGAAGATCTTTCTCTCGCTCTCTCACTGTCTAACTCTACCTGTAAAAAAAAAAAAAAAAAAAAAAAAAAAAAGGAAAGAAAGGCAAAGTTTACAGAGAGGGAGAGACAGAAAGAGATCTTCCATTTGACCTTTCATTCCCCAAATGGCCACAATGGCCTGGGATGCACTAAGCTGAAGCAGGAGTCTGGACCTCCATCTGGGTCTCTCAAGCAGGTTGCAGGAGTCCAAGCACTTGGGCCACGTTCCACAGCAATGGCCAGCCTGAAGCCAACATCTGGGAACTCCACCTGGGTCTCCTGCATGAGTGCAGGGGCCCAAGGATCTGAGCCTTCCTCTGATGCTTCCCCAGGGGCATCAGCTGGGACTTGAACTGGCACCCATTTGGGATGCCAGCATTGAAGGTGGTGGGTTAACCCACTGCACCACAATGCTGGTCCCCACAGTAAAATTTTCAGGGGCCAGTATTGTGGCATAGCAGGTAAAGCCACCACCTGCAACACCAGTATCCCATATGGGCACCAGCTCCAGTCTTGGCTGCTCCCTGCTAACGCACCTGGGAAAGCAGAGGAGGGCCTCTGTCCCTACGTGGGAGATCCGGATGAAGCTCCTGGCTCCTAGGTACTAGCTACGGCCCATCCCTGGTGGTTGTGACCATCTGGGGCGTGAATCAGTGGATGGAAGATTTCCCTGTCCCTTTCTCTCTCTAATTCTGCCTTTAAATAGATAAATACATAAATCTTAAAAAAAATTTTTTTTTCAATTCAGTATCATCAGTGTTTCAAAAAGGTAATTTGACAAAAATAGAAGGTATTTGAGAAACGCTGATATTAAAGGAGAAGAGGTACACGGGTTAACAGGTAAATTATGAATAGGATTTCTATTTGTATACAATCCCCAAAATAATATACTGGCAGCAGGAAGAGTCCGTGACACACAACTAGCAGATGAAAGCAGAAATCCCTCACTGCCTCCACCAGGGTAAAGAATCATGGACTTCATTAAACTCCAGTTCCAGACTCCAAACCTACAGTAGTGGCGAACTACAGTGGCCTTGGCTTGCAGGCCCCCTGTGATCCTCTGTATCTTGGTTTGGAAGGTTTTTAAATGTTCAAACTGTAAACATTTAAAGTAAATGCTTATTAATTTACACATACATATTGACCTTTAAAACTCACCACGACCAACACAGTGAACAAATACTTCCATCACTTCTGAAGTGTCCTCAGGCGCTCTGTAAGGTCTTCCTCCTGTCCCAGCTTCCACACGCTCCCCACAAGGTTTCCAGGGAACTGCTGGCTTGTCTTCCATCCATACGATTTGTTTCCTAGTATTTTATATAAACGAATCATAAGTCACAGTTTGGCTCACTCAGAGTTACTTTGAGAGTCCTCTTGTTCCCATTGTCGTCAGCTTGTTCCTTTTTATAGCAGCACTGTACTCCGTTGTGTTCTATTCACTGTACATGAACAGGTAACAATTTATCCATTCACCTGGTTATTGCTGGATATTGTGGTTATTTCAAATTTTTTATATGATTAACAAGGCTGCTCTGTGTGGACATGTGTGTGCTCTCAATTCCCTTGAATAGCAGTGGAATGGCTGGTCCTACATTTAACTTGTAAAGGAACTGTCAAATTTTCCTAAGTGGTTGCATCACTTTGCATTCTCACTAGCAGGGTATCAGAGTTCCAGCAGTTGCTCCACATTGTTCTCCATACTTGGTATGGTCAAAGGGAATTTATGGGATCTCGCATTCCTGCTCTTCAATATGATTTATAACAGCAGTCATGATTTTGACTATTTGAACATGGGCAAGTAATTGATCCCTGTGTCTGTTTTTTAATCTATAAAGTGATCAGTTGAGATTCTAACATTATTTTAATGACTGTTTTCGTTTCAGAGACATTTACCAAGTTTTAAGTATATTTTTTTAACAGGTAGTACATTCAATATGGTATCAAATACAAAGAACACAAAAGACTGCGATGAAAATACTCCCTCCTCTGTCTCTTGATTATATTTCCCCCTTCCTAAAGGCAATCAGCATTAGCGAATGCCCTTCCACGGATGTTATTTGCTTCCTTGTGCTTTTCAGGGCAACATAGCATTCTACTCACTATATTTTATTTAGCTAGTTCCACAGCGATGGCCATTTTGATTAGTCTTAATTCTTACTAAAAGCGGTGCTGCAACCAGTAGCCTTGTACATGTATTCTTTCAGACATGGGTGAGAATACCTCTAGGG